ACATAATTAGAATTAGAAAACAAAGCAGTTGTTCACCGGTTAGGACACCCTGACAACGAAAAGCAGCGTGCAAAGAATCACCAACAAGCCCTCGCATGAAATCTGGTGCAAATTGGATTTCATGCTGGGAACAGTTGGGTTCATGTCTGGATCTCTACTGAAAGAAATGCAAATTACCAAAAGTCTGCAAAACTTTGACAATACAAAATACGATAAACTTCTGTCCTGTTGTGTGATTGAAGAGGAAATCAGATAAAAAATGAGTCAAATGATGTGCTCTGAATAACTGATGGCAGGAAAGAATAAACTGTCACAAAGATACAAGAACTAAAAAAAAAAAAAAACAAAATGACATGAATGAAACTTGAGCGAGAGAACAGATGTTGTGCAGGTTGTAGCATCCTAACAGTGATGGTTTACTGTGCTGACCAGAGATATTGTGGCTTTAGCAGCCCACCTTCTACTGAGTTTTGTTTATTTCTCTCATGCAGACCTGTTTTAAATGGCTCACTCATTCATCTTTCAGTATCTTCTGCAGTAAATGTAGTTTTGACGTTGCTTACACTAACTCAACACTTCCTCCACTGCTGAAGAACTCTGAGACTTTGCTGCAAAGCAGCAGCGCACCTCTATGGCAACGTTGGTCCAGACTAAAGCTTATCAACAAAGCTTGGATGGATTGGCATGAAATCTTGTAAAGGCATTCATGGTCCCCAGGGGATAAATCCTACAGACTTTACTGACCCTTTGACTTTCTGTTTAGCACCACCAGCAGGTCAGAGTTTTTTTTAAGTTTTTGAGTGAAATGTCTCCACAATCAGTGGATTTGTTGACATGAAATCTGGTACAGACCTGTATGTCCCCATCAGGAAGAAGTGTAATACACATATTGCTTCATTTATTTGTCCACATGTTTGGTTAAAGACCAAATGGAGATTATAGATTAGATTTTCATAGCAAAGATTAACATTATTAAGAAAACAAAATGCAGGTTAGCATCTGGCAAACATCTGAAAGTGCAGTGTGATGAAAAAAGCCCACAAAGAATAGCTTAAAGGGCTGTAGGAACATGCCAAGATATATACACTGTGAGCAGCATCAACAGTATAAACAGTGTATGTAAGTATGCAAGAAAAAGGAAGTATGGGTATGTGTAGTATTATATAGTATGAATCGAGTGGTATGAACATGTTATGTGTGCAAAAAGAATAGACTGTAGGTATTATAGCTGTGTTAAATAAATACAAAAAATGATAAATGGAAATATGAAGACAAGGAGAAATGGTGGAATGAGCAGTCTAAATAGTGGAAATGAGTATATATATGGTGTTTATACACAGTATGAACAGTACGGTGTGCAATCTGTATATAATTAATACCTGCAAAAATAGTGACATTCACATTGGCTGTACTTTGTGTTTACTTGCAAATGTTAGCACAACACGCTAAACAAAGATGCGAAACATGTTACCTGCAGAACATCAGCAATGTTAAGTTTGCTGGAGCGGCTTGTGGGTTAAAACAGGAGAAACTGACAGCCGGTTTAATAACTGTGTGTGATGCTTTGTGTGAAGGTTTTAATGTAATGTTTAACCCTTTGGGGGGAAAATGTTTGTTGTTGGGCTCATTGTAACTCTCACAATACATGTTAATTTGAATATTTCCTCAGGTGTCTGCCTCAGATGTTATTTTGTTATCAGCACTTTTAACAGTTGATTGTTTTATGTAATTTCAACCAAATTCATGAAGTGTACTAGCCTCTATAATATGAATATTAGATAATTATTTTCATGCAATTCATACAGTAGCAGCTGAACATTGTTTGGGTTTTTGACTGTTTCAGGGAAAAATAAATGGTTTGTTTCACTATTTTCTGATGTTTTACTGTTACTGAATATAAAACTTAACTGCTTGACAGACATAAAAAAGAAAGCATTAAATTTAATGAACTTTACAACAAATGGCTGCGATAACAACCAAAACCATTCAGGTCTACTAGATTTTGAGCAGAAGCACATGGTGGCAGCTCATTTTGTACTTCAGTGGATTAAATTTCTGGCAAATTCACTTTTTGTGCACACAAACATTTCATGGAGTGACCCTGAGGTGTTGTCCAGTTGGCAATCCAGCCTGGACTTCTCACTACGTTCACAGGCTTTATTGAAAAAGTTGCCTTGGCTTTAATGTAGTCATGGACGTCGAGAGGTGATGCATGCCACTTTGAGGAAGTGGAATCAACGGCTTTGCTCACGTGTAACAGATTTAGTACGGTAGTTCTGTTGGGGTAGTGTACACATAGACCAGATATTTACGTAAAAAATGTCGTTTGCCTGATTTCTATCTACTGTCCTGTTCTCTCTCCTCTCTCTCACCCCACCCCGTTGAGGCAGATAGCTGCCTCCATGAGCCTGATTCTGCTCAAAGTTTCTTCCTGGCAAAGAGGACTTTTTTTTTCTTCCACTGTTGCCAAAGAGCTGCTCAAAGACATAACATTTGTTGGGTTTCCCTATAATTTATTACCGATGAACCCATCAGTTAAACCTGTTTTATTCTGTAGGGGTCACGGGGGGGATTAGAGCCTATCTTAGGTGACATTGTTTGAAAGGCACTGGCGAAACAAAAAACTCACACCTACAGACAATTTAGAGTCATCAGTTAACCTAGCATGCGTGTCTTTAGAATGTGGGATGAAGCCACCCTGAGAAAACCCACTCAGATCCAGTGAGTCTCCTTACAAACTCCACACTGAAAGGCTCCAGCAGACCAGCTGGTTCAAACCCAGAACCTTCTTGCTGTGAGGCCACAGTGCTAACCACTTGAGCACTGTGCCACCCGAGCAAAAATATGTTTTGCATGACTAATGAAATTCAGTCACTTCATTCGAAGTAGGAATGGGCAAGCACTTTGGAGATTTCAGTGGGCTAATCTTGCAGATACTCCACATGAAACGAGGCCTTACTACATTTAAGTTAGCTCAGAGACGTGTAGCAGGCAAAGCTACACCAATATGGCAACAGAAGTTTCCTACATCAGAGACTACCTTGTTATTCATTGATTTATTTCTTTTATGTTGAATTTGATACATTTGCAGCCTCCGGACAGTGAAAAACACTTATCTATTGGCAAGGCACTAGCTGGCGTTTGCAGACTGCACAAACGATTGGTATGCAAAGCCTTGGTTTTATGGAAGTGCCTCTTATATGTGTCCTTGCATGGAGGTGGCATCGTGTATGGATTCATGGTTTGGCTGAAAGCGTCACAGTGCTTGTCGATTCAGAAATGCTTGGGAAAATGTAGATTGTGTGGACGCTATCCACTGCACTACTTAATAAAAAAAAAAGAGCTTTGCTTCTGAAAAGCAAGTTGATTCAGGAAGCAGCGCTGTTACCACAACGCAGTTGAGAAATGAAGTTAAACTAGTAACTATGCCACTTGTAGCGACGCTGCTGTCCAGCACTGGCAAGGAGTGTGGCTTAAATCAGCAGACCTGACTGAAAGGTCACAGAATATTTGAATAAAACACAAAAGTGTGTTAAAGTCTGGCTGCTTTGGGCAATTTTGCTAAAATTTAGTTCTATTTGGCATTCGATGCTAAAGCCTAATGAACCCCAAATTAAGTTTAACCAAATTACAAGGTTAAAATGAAAGGGACGAGTGAAAAAGAGCCACACACTGACTTTACAGGTCACCACAAATGCAGGGCCAAAGATAAATTATATGAACTGCTTCCGATAAATTTGCTTCAGTAGTCATGTGGTGGTCTCTCTAAAAACAGTCTTGAGGCTTTTTGGTCTACAGAGAGGAAACATGTTGCTCACCAGAGTATAGACAAACTGTTAATGGGATTTGGTGTGTGAAGATTAAATTCTGTCTGTAAGGAAAGCATCAATGTGGAGTCCAATACTAAAGCATAGTGTTTAAAGAGGATGCACACACACAATCCTTACAAAGAGTTTTTGTAAATGGATAAGATCCAACATGAGAGCGTTTTGTGTGGAAGAAAATCTGGGGTTTTGAACTGAATAAATAGATAAGAATAAGGACAGACATGTAACTTCAGTTTAACCAGACGGTACGTTTTCTGCAATCTGCAGCCTTGTTGTTGCTGATGGACAAGTGACAAACACACATTAACACACATGAAAACACGTTGTCCCAGTCGACAGATGGCGTGATTTGACAGAGATTAGGCTTGTTTGTTTGGTCTTTTTGTTATAGCTCTGTCTTTTTATTTTTTATTGCAAACATATTACACTGCCAAATGTGAAATTGTCTGGCAAGCGGCAAGGAGTAGAGAAGAAGCAGGAGAGATGTTTCTGTCTGCTCGCTCCACTTTCACACTTGTCTCCTTCAGTGTTTCAGGTTACTCTGCCTGCTGGCATGTTCAGCTTTGCTGTGACTCATTGTACCTTCTCAATATGTATGCTTGTTCTTGTTACAATGTCAGGAAATTAGTATTTACCCATATGGAGCTACAGCTACCTGTCAAAAAGATCAGCACTGGATTCTCACACAAATGCTTTTTTTTCCTGGTTTGTTTTGGTTGTAAAAGCAGTTAAATGTACTGTTGAACTGATGTAGTAACTAACTTTGAGACCAGATACCTGAAAATCTTTGTTGCTGAGCAGGTATGCTGTTATGTCTGTGTAAGTGTGACACACAAAGCTCAGTAATCCCTCAAACAAGGTAAAGCAGAAGCACACGCCGGAGGCATAATGTCTGTTCACTTCACTGCTTCAGTGCTGGATGGGAATTCACACTGCACCTCTTTTCAGACTGCTGCCTTCCTTCTGCCTTTTGCACCGTGAATATTTTACTTCTGATTCCGCTGCTTTGTTAACCTACTTAATGTTTTGTAAAGGTTAGATAATTTTGTAATTAAGCTCCACTCTGTGCCTTCCCGCTGCAGATCCCAGTGAGACCGTGGCACTTCCCTGCGTGCATGAGTGTAAGGGTGTGAGTGTGAGTGTGTGAGAGCAAGTGAGCGTCAGCGCTCCCACATGGCCTCCATGCAGGACGGGCTGAACTTCACGGCTCCTCCCTACGGCAAGGTCCTGCTGCTGGGTGCTATCGCTGCTGCCTCAGCCTTTGTTGTTACGATCCTCATTGTGGTGCTCTGCGTGGGCTGCCAGAGGTGAGAGCAGCACTCTGCACACACGCATGACCGACCACACACACACACACGCACACACACACACACAAACATTCAGTGTCTTCATTTGCACTGGAGTATTTACACAAGCACACACCAGTGGTGGAAGAAGTATTAAGTGCCAAAACAGCAATATACAAACACTGTTACAAGTAAAATGTCTGTATTCTCAGCAAAAATGTCATCGAAAGTAGAAGTACTCACTCAGGCCCCTGTAATTATAATAAGACGATATCAGATGATCATGCATTAGTGTTTAAGCAGCATTTTACTGTTGTAGCAAGTCAATGTGGAACTACTTTTAATACTTTATATACTGCTAGGAAGGTTCCCAACATGGGGGTCAGGCCTCTCCAATGGGTCACAAGATAAATCTGAGAGGTCATGACGTTTTCCCTTCTTTTAGTTTTGTCACAGAGATCGGGTTTCAAGCTGAAAATGTTGTAACTGGTTTAAATAATGAATTGTGTTTTGGTACAGTAGGTCACAGCCAAGAACCCACATCTGACACTGAATATACAACATTGTTGGCATGAAACTATTCACAGGATTCTTAAAATGTATTGAATGTGGTAATACATATGCGTAATATGTAATGTACAAAATATAAAGTGTGGGAAAAAATGCAGTGTTCAAAATGTAGAAGATCTGTAATGTTAAAAAAATACCATTTGACTATATTCAGTGTGTCCAGTATTTTATTTATCATATGACTTTTATGTGGAATATCAATCTGAAAAAGTAACTAGTAACTACAGCTACTAGTTAACCATGGTAGAAGTACTCAAGCGAAGTCGTAAAGTACCTCAAAAGTGCACTACAGGACTTGAATAAATGTACTTAGTTACTCTCCACCACTGGCAGCCACATTTGCAAATATACACCGAATGTTTGTCTCGCATATGCACAGTCACAAGATGACTCAGCCACACATGACTCAGACACAAACTCTGCATATGCACGCACAAGTGTCGGATCCTGTATGACAGAGCGGTTGTGTTTGTCGCAGGAAGGGGAAGACACACAATGTCCCCGGCGAGGGTGGAAAACACAGACTCATGGACATGGTAGGTATCAGGCAACACGCTCCTCGATGTTTTGTTTGTATTGCAGCAGAGGTAGCTGAAGCAACTCTATTCGCCAGGGAACAATATCATTCAGAGGACACCTCTTCAGTCTTAATTAGTGTTTAACTGCCCCTGTGTGTGTGTGTGTGCGTGTGTGTGTGTGTGCGTGTGTGTGTGTCTGTGTGTTTGTGTGTGTGTGTTGTCAGGGTATACTCAGGCAGTCGAAGCTGCGGTCCATCAGTAAATCAGACACTGAGATGAACAAGATGAACTGCAATGGCAAAAGTGAGTGCATCTTTCACATACAAATCCTGACCCATGCTCTGTAAACACTGGCTCGTCGCTGTCAGGTGAAAACCCTGCATCACTGAAATGTCAACTTTTGTGGAACCAAACAGTCTGGTCTTGTTTCAGCTGCATGACAAAGAATGTTGGCATCATTCAAGAGGGTTTTTGGGGAATTTTCTTATGCAAATGGGTTGAATCTGTGCAATCTTTCAGTTCATTTAAAAGCATGAAAATCACGTAAACTGGAGACACTAGGTTTTACACTGCAACAGCAACACAGTCATCATTTGGAAAATATAACAGCATGATAACTAAAAATACGTCATCCACAAGTAAATGCAAAGGTTGCATGTTTTTGTCTGATTTAAGCTCATCCTCATTAATTTAAACCAGCATGTCCAGAAAAACAACGTCATGAACCTCTTGTGTGTGAATAAATAAGCGCAATGTCACACTTTCTCTCTACATTCTCAGTTTCTAAACCAATCTGGCCCTAAATTCATTCAAAATCCTCTCCATAACAAAATCTGAAGACATATTAGAGGAGAAATTTACCCTAAAACAGAATTCACATTACATTTGCAACTCAGCCTTATTCCACTAGACTGCTCAGTCCTGATTTGTGAACATGTATCTCTCTCTCAAAGACACAAATCAGAGTGCCAAGACAAATCCTGGAGCTCCATCACTGACAGTCAACAGGGAACTGCGTTTGTGGGCACTGTGACAGTAGCCTGAGAGGAATTGAAGAAATATAAGCATATGTCCTGCTTCATACTTGTCCTGCTTCCACTGCAGTGGAATGAAGCCAATTTGGATGCATATTCTCAAACATCTATGTCAGTTCCCAGTTTACTGTCAGCGTCAGAGTTTCTCTTCTCTTACCAGTGAGAGAGATATTCATGTTCACCAATGCTCGTGGATCTGTCCAGTGAAAGAGGAGTAAAGATGCTGTATGTGAGTTCTGCTTTATGGAGGCTGTCGGACAGTGTAACAGCAGACCGTAAGGGCCTTGCAGAGGCTTCTAAAAAGAAACGTCCAGCCAGCATGGACCTTCTGCTGCTGCCCAGCCACTGGTCTAACTCTGACCTTCGTTCTCAAGGCAGGCAGCTTCCCCAGATCCCCTCTGGGACTGGAGAGGACGGCGAGCACACTTATTCTGAAGTGGGCCGGCGCTCCTCCACCACACGTACTGACGATGCCCTCTACGCCATGGTAGGCAGGGCCGGGCAGACGGACACGCCGGCCCCTCCGGCCGTCCCTGCCAACACCCCGGCGCCCCCAGACCCGGACGGGGACGTGGAAGGAGGGCTGCCCGAACCCGAGGCCCAGGTCATGACTCCACCTCATCCGCCTGAGACGGCCGAGTATGCCTGCGTCAGGAAGCTGAGGAAGGCCGACAAGGCGCCTCAAAAGAGGGACAGCGGGACAGATATGGGGGAACCGCCAGCGCCGCCTCCGCGACACGCCCCGCCGTCACACCCAGCCCCTCATCCGCCACACCCGCACAGCACAAAGTTGCCCCGCAGAAACGTTGAGGCCTTTAACGTCCCATCATTCCCAAAGGTGAGAACTGTTACATGTTCTACTAAATTCATCTGTTTAGTCTGATAGGAGAGTTTTGTTGCTTTCTACTAGAAAGTTGTGGTCAACTTAGAGATAATCAGACACCTTCAGAACACTTTGTAATGCTGTAAATAACATTTTGACTAAGTCAAATGGACATATTTGTCCTTTCATCTACAAAACATGTTTTTTGGAAATCTTTGCAAAATCATTGAAATTCAAAATCTGAATTCTCTTTGTTGATCTCTGGATCCCTGGTTTTGGTTTTACTGGTATAATGTGTTGACTTTACACAAGTGCAATATATACGTATGTTTGTAGGGATGTGTGAATTTTATTTAAACTAGTACATGGTGGTATATGTGCCTTGTTTTTTGTTTATTAACGTGTGGTCTCTTGCCTGTTGCCAATTTGCCTTTGGGGACTATGAAGTACATCTCATCTTCCTGTATTTATAAAAGTCGACCTTTGCTTTGGTGCTCCAAACTGTGGTCAGATACAACCTGGTTGCTTTAATACTACTTCAGATGTGTCAAGAACCTACCTAAAGTCCAGCTGTGACAAACAGAGGATGTTAGAAACACACACACTTGTATTTTAAAAGGTTTTAGAATTTGCACAGCATGTCAGGAAGTCCAAAAACTCTCTCCAGACTCCCACAACAAACTGTGGTGAGCCATAGATCAGAGTCAGAACATACAACCAATTCTAAAGCTTTGAGTGTTCCCAGGAGAAACCACCTGAAATGGAATGAAAATATGGAAAAAAATGCCCGTTAGTTGATTGCCTGTAAAACTCATCGAGAGAAAACTATCAACAAGAATTCGCAACACCAAAAATGAAATCGTGATTAACCCCCGTAAAGTTAAATATAGTTGTTTTCACAGTTCAGTGTTTGCTAGAATTAAGCAAAGTAGATAAAACTAATTAATTGATGAGCTCTAGAGGTGCTGATAGGACTTTGTTGGACTGAGCTGAGCTAGCTGTTCCCCAGTGCTGCCAGTCGCTATGCTAAGCTGTTGACCCAAACTTCACACATGAAAACAAAAGTGATATTCCCATCTAACGCGCCACAAGAAAACAAGTATGTTCCTCAAGATGTCACTGTTCCTTTAAAACTGTGTATAAAACAGGTCTGTTTGATTTAAATTTGATGTTTGGTTGATATTGGCAGGTAATTAGATCACAAGATTAGATGGAATTTAAAAAAACATATTTTGTGAATTTGCAGTTTGATTGGAAATATCAACATTATATACTGAAGAAAATGTGAATTTTTTCTTAAAATCTACTTTTTCTTTGTAGCATAGGAGATTAAGTATTTGGTGTTTCAACTCACAGAGTCTGAAACTGAATGGACATCATGAAGCAACCAAATACGACTATTGAAAATGATAATGAGCAGATGAAGGGTGGGGCAGTAACGAGTCACACATCAGTGACACAGAGAGTTACTGAGGTTGTTGATGCTGGTTAGTGAAATGTTGTCCCACTCTGGCTGAAGGGCTCGATGAGGTTGGTGGATATTTTGGGGCCAAGCTCACGTTTTTGTACACGTCCACCCAGAGCTGTCTGAAACAATAAATGGTGGAGTTGTTGACATTATACAATGAAAAAAGAGAACTGTTGGACCCACTCAGATGAATTCCTTCAATTGGTAACATGCAACTGAATTAAGTTTATATAAAAGTGAAATTATTGCCACTGCTGTAGGATAGACGTGCTTTAATCAACTGATTTCTTTAAAATGGACACTCTGCTTTGCTGCTACTTCATTTTAAGGAAAGTAAACTTGGAAGTTTCCAGTTTTTCCAACTCAGGTACTTTGCTTTGCTTAAGCATAAAATGTAAAACAGGATTTTGTTATGAGACGTACCGTCTTCTGTGAACCTCAACGGCGGTTGAGTTGCAGCTAAAAAAATTTTGAGAAACGTTACGGTGTGAAACGCACAATGCTAAAGGAGGAGTGACCTCCGTTTTTGAACTTTCTCCAAATTTAGAAAACCTGTTTCAATGGATAAAATAAGTAATTTCATGTGGATAGAATCCACAAAAGTAAAGTGTGATCACCAGAGCAGAAAGATGACTGGGATACATTCAAAACTGTACTTTTAAAAAAAAAGTTTTAAACTCAATTACACTTTTTACAGTGTAGTATCTGGCTTCAGCTTTAACTGACACTCCTACAACAGCTGGGTTTCCTCTGTCTCTATCTGTGCCTTTGTGTCATTTGATCAAGGTGCATTTTAAGGTGGACTTTTATAGCCACTGCTCACTATCTGATCATTGTGCTGTAAAGCCACACCAGAGTAATGACGAAGCCAACGGTGCAGAATTTGTCTCCAGTTGAAGAACTCAGCATTTCTTTGTGTGCAGCTGCATAAATGTAATCATTTTCTAACCATACTGATAAAAATTTGAGGTTTAACTCTTCCTCTTAAGTAGAAAAAACCCCACTTGCCTGCTGCAGTGTAGACTCAGATGGGAAACAAGAGGACAGAAATGGAGAAGTATGAAATGCAACAAAGGTCCCTGGGAGCCATGTGCTATTTATCCTCAACACAGTGTAATATTTACCATTTTTAGCAATAAATGTGACCTGATTCCTGCCACACATTTCCTTTGCAATAAGCCTCGACAGCAGCACCTTAGCGGCTGGCTCTAGGAAGCTGAAGGAAGCGAGGAAGTGATAACTGGAGGGCAGAGGAAGTTAGCGGCTAAGTTGGGTTGTTAGCGGCTCTCCAGAGGTCTGACTGGAGCACAAGAGGAGATCACACGAGGTAACATCAGCCAACGGTGTGAGTGCTTCGACTCACCAGGTATGAATGGCCAGCGGTTTCTTGTGCTGGCCGTTGTGACATGTATAAGAAATGTCTTTGTGATGAATATTTCATTATGTTGTTCTTTTGGCAGCACCGGTATGACACATGAACCAGATGCGGAAGGCTGCAGAGGATGTGTTGTAATTGTGCCGGTGTTGCAGTTTCCCCTGCAGTCGGCTACATCATGCATGGTGTTGTGATGTGTTAGCACTGCTGTAACAAACTTCTTTGAAGTCGGGGCAGCGAGCGGTGTTTATTTGTCGGAGAGTTCTTGGCGATAGTGGGGTATTTTTGCTCTCAGCGGTGTCACCTCCTCCATATGTTCACAGCAGCAGGAGTGTACGCAGACTGTCTGCTTTTACTGTGGATTTAAGGCTTTGTGCTCCCCTCCAGGTGACAGTGGGAGACCATTTGCTGCCCTGCGTGAGGTCAGCGAGGTCGCTCCATCTGCTGTGACCCGAGTTCAGTAACACGCACAGTTCACGGGCTTACATGTGTAAGCAGTTTGCTCACAGGCCTGTTCACCACTGACTTCCTTGCAGATGACGCAACATGTTGAAATTGAGTCATCCAGAATATAAGCACATGGTTCCTTACAGGCTCCACCTTCCAGGGAAAATCTATTCAGTGCTGTATGAGCTCCATCCAGTACATTTCCGATGCCACAGCTCCTCTCCAAAGTGGTTAATTTGTCTTGTGTGAGTTCTGTTACATCTGCTTTGAAAATGCAGCTTTTATATTTTCGAATGCTCATTTGTCAGCGCAGAATCCTGCAGGAGCATGTGACCGGCTCTGTCCCAGACCTGATTTGTTGTTCTGTTGACAGGAGGTGATGTTTATGGGAAACGGAGAGCAGTACATCTGGAAGCCTCCGGAGGACGAGGAGATGCTCATGCTCCAAAATAAAGCCCTGGGCCCGCTGGGTGCCCACACGGTGGAGAATATACAACCGTCTGCTGCAGCGGTGAGCAGCGACTCTTCTGCATGTGCATCAACTCTTTTTAAAAAAATTCTTTTACTGTGTTAAAGCTCCCTGTTCCCAATGTTCTCCTTAAATTCAAAGACAACATTAAACCCACTAATAAAACAAATATCAAAAAATATTCAGTCCGCTTGACATTAAAACGGTCTTAACTCATTTTTCTAGTTTTAACTAAACTGCATTTCCTAATTTAAGACAGAGACAGAGGTCAACAATGAAATATTATCATTCATATATATTAGATTCTAAAATGTTTGGTTTTAAAACACTGTAAAAAAAATACTGTAAAGTAATAAAAAATACCTAGCTCAAAAAATAAACTACAATTTCTATGAAATCTACTTTCTAACTTTAATGTATATTTTTAACCTTTTAATGCTTAATGAAGGATATTTACATGTATAGAAACAATTAAATGACTGATTATATCAAACACAGTGACACAGAGGTGTGTAATTATCTGAAATTCCAGAACCAATCCTTCTTTTTCCCCTTAATCATCATTGTATCTAATTTTAGAAATATATTTAAATTACTAAACTTGAATTTAACAGGATCATCTTTTAAATAGAAAGGAAATATTTGTGAAATAACCATAAATAGTGAACAATTCAATTTTCTTTGCAAAATTGGAAATTATGTTTATTCACAGTTTAAGGTTTTTAAATGTTATTTTACCTTCAATGCACAAGTTAAATCTCTTTTTAGTCATTTTATTGACATTTTTTGGCTGTTTAAAAAATACAGAAAATCTTTAAAATTAAAAAAGAAAAATTCTGTAAAAAATACAAATTTTTACAAAATCTTGAAGGCTATCCAGCAAATTTCACTTAAATATGCTTTTTGTTTCTATATTTCAGAAGCTCTGTGACTGCATTTGAGTGCTCACACATGAGCTGCACAGACTGGGACTAGATTTAATTATTCATGCAGTTCACAGTGTTTTATGATAACTGTTATAACAAATGAAAACTTTATTTAATTTACCTTTCGTCTTCACTAAAATGTTAAAGAGTGATCTGTGAGTTTACACAATGCTCAGATAAACCCATTAGTTAAATGGATTAGACAGGTTAAAGGAACAGTTCAACACTTTGGCTTTCTTGCAGGATGAAGACGTCTTATTTCTGTCTTCTAAATAAGGTGGAGACGCGTAGCTTCGCACTTAGACTGGAAACTAAAGCTCTAAAAACATATTACAGCGTGTTTGTTCAATCTGTACAAAAACCAAAGTGTGAAACTTCAAGTTGTGCTGGAGGGTTATGTGTGGAACTATTTCTTACCTGAGAGGTGTGCTGGCATCAAGCTTCTTGTCTGAGTAAAATGTTCCATTTCTTGGAAGTCAATACACCATAATGAAAAAACTATTGAAAAATGTTGAAAGTCTGCCAGCAGGGGTGCAAGAAAAACATGTTAAAAAACAGTGGAACACTATAACATTCAAAAACTGTAAAAAATGACGGTAAATATCTGTAAAGTATTGACAGCTTAAGCTCATTTACAATCAACCAAATTGTGTCATTTTACAGTCACACAAGACCCAATTGCTGCTGGTGTACATATCTGGAAATTAATAACTTTTTTTGTTGTTGATTTAAGTGCAGTTAAAGCTGTAATTCTACAGTTGATGTTACAGCGCTGTAAATAAGCAATACACCAGTTATACATTTTTGATGTGGACATTATTTACATTTTTGACATGTTGCTTTAAAGTCAGTATCTGAATGAATATTTATTTTTTTCTGTGATTTCACTAGTTATTATCTAAATTTCAATTAAACAGGCAAAATCTGTACAACGGCCCATTTTTTAGGTCCTAATATACACAATCTTTCTTTCAAACAATGATATTTTTACTGGTTTGAATGCAGTAAAAAAATAATGTAACTTTCTGATCAAATGTTGTAAAAGAAAGAACTACTATACATAAAAATACAGACTTCTGATGTAGACGTTTTTACAGTTTTGACCTTTTTAAAAAAAAATTACAGTCAGTTTGTCTTGTCTTGTACTTTTCTGTGGTTTTACTAGTTACCACCCATAGTTCAACAAAACAGAGATCAAATCTGTAAAGTAAATCATCCAAAAACATTACAGCTAAAAACATCTAAAAAGCGTTCATTTTTACCTGTCGATAACCTCAGCGCGTCTGTTGTCTGACTGCAGGTGGCTGAGATGTACTCTAAGGTGTGTAAACCAGGAAAGAAGAAGAGGGCGGTGCCGGGCTCTCCTCCAGGCAACCCTGGCTTCCGGACCTTGGGTCGTGGTGACCGGGATCGAGACCGGGACGGGGGGTTTAGTGTAGTGGTCAAACCCCAGACATGGGCCCCTCAGGAGGGCAAAGCAGTCGGGGGCCCCCTCGACGACCACTGCTACGAGTCCATCGGGACAGAGGAGTGCGATCCGGCCTACGAGAACCTGGAAGGAGGCGGCTGGAAGCGAGAGCGGCCCCCCAACACGTGTGCCACCCTGCGGCCAAGGAGGAAGAAAGCCCAGCAGCCCTTGCAGCAGCAGCAGCCCCCTCCGCCGCCGCCTACGCAGCAGACCCCCAAGTTACAGCACCTGCCTGCCAAAGCCCTGCTGCTGCCGGGGGAGAACCTGTACGAGAGCATCGGCGACCTGAAGCAGGGCTCCGCCACCTCCAGCACCACCACCATCTTCACTTTTAACGATGGCATGGAGATGTATGTAACAGGGCTCTGAGGCGGTGGCTGCACTGTGACCCCCCTAACCTTCCAACACAAGGAGCTGAGCTACACCACAAGGAGTGACGGCTGAGCCCCTGTCATGCTCACCCACACATACTGTTTACATTAAAGTCATAACATCAAGCCTTTCACAGGCTCCAGAGGCCTTGGGGCACTAATGTTGATCTGTTATGACCTGGGCTGAATACGAAGTCCAATCTATCAACCTTATAAGGAATCCAAAGGTAGTGAATAATAAATGAGCACAAGACCATTGCAGAGTAATCTGTAGGTAACAGTAGCACTTCTATTTTACTGATACATATGTGCAAAGCACAATAAAGTGAAAAGCCTAAATTCTTCCTCAATTCTAGCGGGTAAAAATAGTCATATATCTGGTCCGAGCAGGACTCTTATTTGGGGAAAAGGCACAGCATTGTGTGAAATATTTTGGTAGCACTTAGTCTGTCATGAGCAGGCCTTCCCTGTAGTTGGTCAAGATGTGATTCAGGACGGAATTTAAATGATATAAAGGAATGAATTACTAATCAAAATACTTGAAAGCTCAGGGACCAAGAGAAACAATTATGAGAGTATTATAAGAAAAAAATTGCACACATTTTGCATTCCTCCTAAAAGCTTCGACTAATTTAGACCATTTTCACATTTGAAAGCCGACCAGATACTTCCCTCTGTCACGTTTGTTTCACCTCACATGGACTGAACACTGTCTCCCCTGCTGTCTGTAAATGAAGTGTTTTACTTTGTTGATCCTGTTTCTGCACTTTGCCTGCTACAAGTTGCATGCTTAAAAAAAAGTGAAAAAAAAACTAACAAAAAATCAAGCACTGTCATGTGGTACCTCTATATGAATGTTTTTTTTTTTTTTCTCTTTTCTTTTTCTATTGTCGTGGGTTGTTTATTTTCTAGTGTGTTGCTTTATTTCTCTGTAGAGCTCAAAGCCAGTTAAAGTAAGGATGTCTTTGGCTCGGTGGGACTCCGTGCAGCAGAGAGGACCATTAATTTTCTCTCCTGCGCCTGCGACACACTCACACAGTACAGATGAAACAAGACTAAAGAGAACTGCTCGAGTCCTAAAGGTGGAGACAGTCCACTCGACCTCCCTTCCCTTTCGTCCCCTCTCCTCCCACAGCGCCTCCCCCCCCTGTCTGCTCAGTCCTCACTCATATCTGTGGACTGTTCATCTACATGGTCCCTGCCTTGTGGTCATATGAATCTGCTTGGGTTTCATCATAGTGCAGCGTGGAAAAGCTACAGTAGAACTGATGTGTATTAGCAAACGTCATGTCTCATCGTCACTCCATTGATGAACTCTCTCTCTCTCTCTCTCTCTCTCTGTTATCAGTGTTGAAAATATTGCAGAAATGACAAAAATGTGAAGCAAACGGTTCGCTAAGCAGCAGAGCATCACTCCCCCCCCCTCAACCCCCCGAGGATAACACACACAAATTACATCCAAATCCTGAACAATAGCGACGATCTCATTTGACCAAATATCCCCAGCAAACAATGTGATTATACTGTATGTTGATGCAACGTGTATGTACATGACAAAAGAGAAAGAAATAATAAATATATCATCAGTGTCAAGAAAATCTATCTTTTTCTATTATGTTCAATTGTGTTTTGGAATGACTTATCTTGTGACACAAAAACTGCAAAACAGCTGCAATGTAAATTTCAGTGTATTCTGTTTCTTGTTTTTTGAAGCCATGAAGCTACGGTGTGTTCTTGGAAAGCCCTGCTAAGTTAAATGTGGCAGCTAATGTTGTGTGTTTGCTATTCAGACTACAGGGTCTTGTACTCAAAAGCGTGTAATTAAGTGCTAAGTGCAAAAGATTGTAATGTTTTATATCAAGATTACTATTCATGAAATGTCAGTCAAGTTTATACTTTTGTAATAAAGTGGCACTTTAAAAAAAATACGTTTATCTCATAGTCTCGGTTATTAAACTGGACAGAGAGCGGAATTTGCTAAGTGACTTCTCTAGGAGTTGCCATTTTCTTTTTTTTTTATATTTTCTGATCTTAAAAGCTGCCTGTAGATTCTAGAAAAGAAATTTTAAGGGTCATATTAGGAAAGATATTTCAAAAAAATGTGCAATATTTTCACACATTATTTGACATCCAAGGCTGCATGTTTCTTCTATTGTGCTCCCTTTTTCCTTTGTGCACAACCTTACAACCTCATTTCACATGTGAGTGTGTGTGAGTAGCCTTCCCATGTTTTTTTTATCCGTATGCATGTCGGCGTGCACGTGCACATGTGCAGAGTATCAGGGTCTGCGTCTGAGTAGCTGTGGAGGGGTTTGGGGAGGAGGGGGGTGGTGGAAGGAGAAAAAAAAAATAGGTCACCCCTTAAAACAAAAAGCTTGCAGTCAACATCGCAACCGTCTGCTGAATTTTCATTGGCGGGCTTGTCTCCATGGTAACAGGTTAACCTTGAGGCAGTAGTCACATGGGCGAGCGAGTCTTCTGCTGTCTTGGAGAATACAGCGTGCGTTGTATGACATCCGTGATCACAGTGTCACCCGCCTCGGTGAGGAGCTATCACAGGGGGGGAAAAAACAGCCCAAAACAAACGTGTAGGAGCAGCACATACTGTAGGTGTGAAGATGATACAACATTCACAGCTTATGTGATGTGCTAATCTCACTGTGAGGCGTGTGAATGACTGAATAAATGCATGAATGAGGCAGTCGGATTCATTGAAAGGTACATGACAGTGAAAAGACAAGAGAGAGGAGAGAAGAAAGGGGGGGGAGATAACGCTGAGCAGAAGGTGGAGGGTCTCGAGGATCAAGAGGCGTGAGCACAACAGGGAGGGAAGCGCAGAAGATTTTTACTGCTCATTTTGTAACCCTGAAATGACATCAATATCATCATCTTACACGTGCACAAGTGAGCATTTACACGTTCAGCACCGGATCAGTCAGTGAAACCACGAAGCACAGATTCCATTCCAGATATTAAATCTCTAACTTGGGATTCAGGTGAGTCAGTGTGCAGCTCTCCTGCACTGTAAAGAACAGATTTCTCAAAGGGAACTACTATAAATCACACTTGGGGGGGTGTGGGGGGGGAAGCTTTATGTGAGCTGTACTGACCCCTTCAGGCCTTAAAGTGCATCACAGGAGTCGAGCGGCCTGAGTGTGAACCCTGAGAGTCAGAGGAGCGTTTAAAATATTCAGACGTGAGCGTGTGACCGTCCGTGACCTCCAACCCTAGCGATCAGTCCCACACCACGTCAGATTCCAGCAGTAACATCAAGTGGAGGCAGCCAGTAGTGAAATTTGAATGAAAATCACTCTGAATTTCAGATTTATTGAATCATTTTTGGTGTATTACTCCTGACCTGAATGTGTAAAATTCTAACTCCATCCTAAATGACAATAACTGTCCTTTGTGATATATCTTTAATATAAAATCTCTGACAACTACTCTACTGTAGATGTAAGTTTACACCGTTACATGTATAAAAATGTCTTATTAGAGCAGCATCAAGTGTGAATGAATGTGTTTATATAGAATATATTCTGAGGCCGGCTGCACCAGCTGTTCAGAAAGTCGAATTGCTTAGGTTCTTAATGTAAATACATTAAACAACATGAACCCAGAGATGACATTTCCAACTATTTGGATAAAGTATTCACCATTTTTATTCCTAATAAAGCAATGATGGTGAGTAGAAATGCCTGATTTGAGGACCAGAATTTAAAACGGAATGCTAAATGATATAGTTATATGTTGATGTTTCTCTTCCAGTAGTGTACATTTACATGCAAAAGTATGCATTCAAATTTTGTTTCTTTTCTCAAAAAGCGTGAATTTAATTTTTGATTGACAGCAGTTAGAGAAATTGGTAAAATAACTTTTTTAAGAGACAGAATGACAAGTGGGATTTATAAATCTTCCATTTTAAACATTTGCGCCCACTAAGTGCAAAGCATCCCAGATGCCAACCAAACCAACTGACCAAACTAATGCTGTTTTGCTCATATATGCATAAGAGTCAACACGTTTTGGTCGGGCTGCAATAGAACTTAACAACACTTTAAAAGCCTGACGGTTTTTAGTCACATTCACAAAAATAACACGAACCCTTCAAATTACAAAAGAGTTATGTCAGACTTAATACTGGCAGTAAGGTTTAGCACAAATAAAATTGTATGAAGATTCTGAAACTTATGGATTTCCTTCCATGTGCAAAAGACAAAGTCCGATGTGCGTTTAGAAAGGATTGGCAGTCAACATTCAGTTTGGCCCCTTAAGATTCAGACATAAACATCAGCCGGTCCACTGTTCACAAAACTATCTCAGATTATTGTGGATCACCGTGAAGCTTTGTACAATCATCCACGGTGCTCAGAGCATGAACATTAACTTCCTCTGACTTTTTCATCTAGCACCACCATGAGGCTACTTTTCAGTGAAATGTCTCCACAGCTATTGGATGTATTACATGCAGACATCAATAGTGAGGGTGAATTTTAGCAGCTTTGATCAACTTTTAATTCTCCATTTTGCAACATAATCCGTTAAAATGTCTTTGGTTTATGATCCAGTCCCTGCAAGGCTAAAGACAGTCCATCCACCTCAGCTGTGTCTGCTGTTAGTTAGGAACACTTGTGTTGAACCATGATGGTGAACTTTACCGCCTACTCGTCAAGACTAATTTTATTTGTGCAATCCCAATAGTAAAGTATTGTTTAAAAGTACCACTAAATAAGCCTTGAATTTCAGAACAGCTGGTGCAACCGGTTCCATTTCGTAAATACTAATGTTATTGCATCATTCTACCTCGAAGGTAATGGCACTGTTTCACCTCTGGGACAATTCTGCATGAAAGTATCAACGATGAACACTCAGAACATCCCTCATGCACAAAACCAGACTCAACGCAGTACAAAATTTCATGTACAGTACACAAAAGTGAATACAACAAAGTTTTTGCTAGTCTACGCCTGAAGAGGAGGACGCACAATAACAGGAGTTTTCAAGTAGTTTGCGTTTTTTTTTCACAGAGGCTCACAGATGCTTGAGTCAGTACGAAGGCTGCTCCTGGTCCTCCTCGTCGCTCCAGCTGTCGGTGCCGTCCGTCCCAAAGTACCGATCCCCAAAGTCCCCTGAAAACACACAACAGTGCACTCAGAGCGGGGCGGCAAAGTCAGAGAGGGGAAAAGAATTAGAAAACGAACTAACACAGCATGGACACAGTAAACAGCTGTGAAGGTTGGACCATTTGGAATTAATAGCTCAGTGCTGGTATCTTACACATGAAATGAATTTCTTCTTTTGTGACTGAGTCATTCTCAGAGAGATCAATGAATTTGTTCTAACACGAAACATTGCATCGTAATGTTTCGCAAGTGATGGCCCAACAGAGGAACAATAATGTGAGATCTGACAATACCATTAATGCTATTGCGGGTATTTTTCAAGCATATTTGAGCGATTTTATTTTCAATTTTGGATTTATAATGACAGTCAAAGAGAGGGGATGATTCTGATGATCAGCTTAAACCAGTTAAAAGACGACCGCTTTGACGTTTATTGGTCTACAGACTCCCTTTCTAATGAGAAAACATTTACAGCTCCCCAAGATGTTGTCTGGATTGTGATCACTTTCATGGGTCTGAAGCAAATTAAGTCCAAAGTGACGCCTTTGAGAAACTTCACTTCACCTCATGTTATTGGCTGGAGTGGGGAGTAGGGTTTTGTTTTTCTACATACACTCAAATACAGCATGTGAAACTTATCTAAGTCTCTCAGTTTTACATACGTACATTAGGCTCATAATATACATTATAATGAAGCAATCATCCTCTTCTTTTTCAAAATATAACATCTGACTCGGTTCTTGAGAAGTATCAAATGACACAGTTAGGTAGGGCTTTTATCCCATTGTTCTTTTTTCATTTGCTCCTCTGTTTTGTATGTTCTTTGTTGTTTGTTGTATTTCTAGATTTGGAGCATGTTTCCCTTAATGTTGGTGCTTTCACACAGGCATGTGCTTTGTCCTTACAGGCCACCGTACTCTTCTTCTTCTTCTTCTTCTTCTTCACTGACATACAAACTGCAGCTGTAATTCTTCTTTAACTCCCATTTCTTCAAGCTTGAGATGGCAGTTTAATTACAACAGTCAAACAATGACTAAGCAACACAACTACATCCAGCAAAAAGCAACGGGACAATTTCCCATGAGAAAATGTTAAATTGTGATTGTGTATTTTCCTCTTTGGGGGCTCAGCTGGTAACATAGCTGCCTCAGACTCAGAAAATGTGATATTCAGTTCTTGGTAAAGTACACAGACAACACAGTTCAGGTGAACAAACTTCTCTGCTTTCACATGACTTTCCTTCTTACACAAACGTCAGGTTTTCATCCTGTATTCAGTCATTCCTGTGATTGTGACTGATAAGTTTATGTAATTCTTTTTTTTTACTATTATTATTTACATCTGAGGCATTAGTTTTTGAGACCCTGAGTTCCAGAAGACATGTAAGTTTGAGGTATAATCTTAAAGTCACAGCAATCACAGCTTTACTTGTGTTAATATGTGTTCTTCAGGCAACAGTGGCAGCCTGCCACCACTCACATGCATCTTCTGCAGAAAGCGCATTCTGTAGTTATGATATTGTGTGTAATTATTTATGTTAACGGAGAGGAGACCGGTCTGTCTGATGTGCATTTGGTTTAGTTACAGTGCTGACAGGGAGCAGTGCTCTCTTCAAATCTAAAGTGGCACAACCATAAAATTAGAATCTGCTGGGACATGAAATGAAATCTGTCAACTTGAAACAGAGATGCTTTTTATCTTTTATCTGCCATTTTTATTTCCTGCATAAATCTAAACTCATGAAACCAAAACCTGCATACTGAAGACAGTGTTGAAAGCTGGAGACGACTAATGAATTTCCATTAAATATTACTTTTTGTATGTCAGCTATAATTCAAATTGGACACAATTTCTGGTGTTGACAGACTCAAAATGGACAAATAAATTCCATTTCAGACTAAATGTGTCAACAGCTAAGGACACAGGCCTCGTGATTTTGCAGGACAGTTATAGGAAGAGTGAATAAGTGCATGTGACAGCTTACCGATACCAGGAATTACATGTAAAAAATCGTCCAGGCTCTTGTCCACAGCAGTGGTGATGATTTTGACCTTTGGGAAGGCGTAGGCCACAGAGTGCACCCCGAGCTCTGCCATCAGCAGCGACACCAACACGATCTTATCCTCCTGCACCTCATGATCCTGCTCAGCCACACAAACCACAGCAACAACTGTCAACGACTGCTCAGGAATTACAGGAAGCTTAATTAATGAGTGGAAAGCCAGGGAAGGGATCGTTTGACATTTGCAGAAATAATATCAATCAAACCTCAACGGGACAGAAAAAAAAAAAACAACTTAATAACCACACAGATGAGCAATGAAACACACGTGACTGAGGAAGAGGAGAGGGGTCCTATTGTTGCCTTACTGAAGAATAATGGTGTTAATCTCCACCCACCAATAGGACTCGTACTGCCATCATGGCAGCAGCGCCGGTGGAGACTGTGCTGTCCATTAGGATGACATGATCTTCACTGATGTCTTTGGGCAGACGCAGGTAATGCAGCTGGCGAGGCCAGAGAGGAGGAGACCGGTAACCATGGTTACAAAAGCAGGAAGGGTAGTTACCACGGAGACACACATCATGTGGAAGAAATAAATAATGAACAAAAAACAATCAAAACATTTTCATCTTTTGTTTGATGTGATTTCTGAGACACCAAGCGACACTGTGGGAAGTCTTAAAAAATGAAACACCTGGAAGGATCTGAGAGATATTAATAGTAAAGACATTTGGTGCTAAGCGACTCATTATTGCTACCTCCGGTTCGCCTGAGTCGAGGTTGGTCTGGATGAGGATCTTGCCGATGCGGACGTCCTTGCACACGGCCCTCAGGGCAGGCTCCATGGTCTCTCCCGCCCGCAGGATCGACACACCGGTGATCTGTGGAGACGAGGCAGCAGAGCGAGCGTGACAACAGAAACCCTGAAGAAATGGAAAGTTTAACAAGACCTTGTAAAACAGGAACATCACTCACCCCTTTCCCGTTGTAACTGCGGCCCTCGTACTCATTGCCCTGTGGAGTCTGAACCACGCAGCGCTGTTAGAAGATGCAGAAGAAGAGTTTGTTTTCAAGATATCATGTTTTTAACACACAAGCAGCCAACATCTACAGATGCTGACAAAAAGGACGAATATATCTGTTTTTGTGCAGATACATACACCTTTGTTCTATCAATGTGTGAGGCTTTTCTGTTGTATAAACATTACATGAACAAATCAACAACTGCATGAATTTTCTTTGACTAAACAAAGACAAAACAGGATTGATTGTTTTTTAAGCCAAAGAGGGACAATTAAAAGTCAGCAATCAGCTTGAATCAGTACGGACTCCAAAGTTATCCAGAAACCTTAATTTGGCAATACACTCAGAGATGAATCTGAAGAAAGGCAATGAAAATAATTACCAGGTCAACCGGCTACCACCTAAAACATATATTAGGAATTAAAGAACATAAGTCTCAGAAGAACTTAGAGACACTTGTCCATGCATTTAGTGTCACAATGTTTTCACATCAGACAGCTGCAGCAGATTCAGACCGCGGCTGCTCGTGTCCTCCCCAAGACCAGAAAAGTGGATCACACCACTCCAGTTCTAAGGTTTTCACATTGGCTTCCTGTCCACCAAAGAGTACCGATAGAAGAAAACACTGCTGCTGGTTTATAAAACACTGAATGGTTTTGGGCCAGAATACATTTCTGATCCGCTGTTGCATTATGAACCATCCAGACCTCTCTCAGGTGCCACATATCTGTATAAACCAAGAAACTGCAGGTCTTTTGCAGCTCTCAGTTCTTTTAAATCAAGGCTGAGAATGTTTCTCTCTGCCTTTCACTGAACCAAATGGAAGGCTTTTGATTATCTTAAACTGCACTGTATCGTTTACTCTCTGTTGTATCTTATAGTTTTATTCTCTATTTAACTCTTTGAAATAGTGAACTGTCTTTTTTTGTTTTGCGTTATGCTCCTTTACACTTTGTTGTGCCGCTCTTCATGTTTTATGTAAAGCACTTTGAACAACGTTCACCTCAAAAAAAGACAGTTTCTTCATTCAAGCACAATCATCACACAGGATGTGCACATTTTGTTGATCACAGTTTCACATGAAAATGAACTTGCAGAGACTTTGCTTGACAAGAGAGTTGATACACATATTTCTATTAATAATTTGGGTGTGATTAATTATGTCAAACAAGCATCACATCTCTACAGCGGGTAATGTGTAGGTTACTGTGTTTAGCGATGTCAGTCATGCATTAACAGATATTCATTGGCAACTTGGAATCAGCAGAAACAAACTGTGCAGTAAACATGACGAACAAATGACCACCCTTTATGCAAACACTTGAATATTTACAGTTAACAACATTAACCTTCATGTGGATTCTAATTTCAGGCCAACATTTAATTTCCTTTTTGCTCTGTTTTTGGTCTCCACTGGTTCCTGAGGGAAATATACAGTATGTCACATTTCTGCAAATATGTTATTACATCTTTTCATGGGACAACACTGAAGAAATTACACTTTGCTCCAATGTAAAGTATTCAGTGTACAGCTTGTATAACAGTGTAAATTTACTGTCCCCTCAGAATAACTTAATACACAGCCATTAATGTCTAAACCGCTGGTAACAAAAGTGAGTACACCCCAAAGTGAAAACGTCCAAAGGTGGAGGAGCACAAGGTCTCTAACATCATGGAGGAGTGGAAGAGAATTCCAGTGGAAGCTCTGGTGAACTCCATACCCAAGACGGTTAAGCAGTGCTGGAAAATAATGGTGGCCAAACAAACCACTGACACTTTGGGCCCAATTTGGACATTTTCACTTCACATTGTACTCACTTTTGTGACCTGCTGTAAATCTCTTCAGCTGCTAAATGCTCTCCTATAGTCACCAGCGAATGTCAGATTAACTCCTGAGACTGAGAGAGTGAACCAAAAGAGCAAGTTGCAGGTTGAAACATCGAAACCACATGCAAAACGTTGAGAAACTAAAGAGCAGTAATCCAAGTCCACTCACCTGAGATGGTAGAAATGTCAGCGCATGTTCTATGAGAAGCCGCATTAATCTCTTTGAGTAGAAAATGAACTCGTCTCGACTGGTTTCTTTGTTCCTGTGGACCAGAGCAAAAAAAAAAGGCTTTAAAACTTACATTTTAGCTGCTGAGATGAGGACTTCAAGCTGCGCACGAGCACACGTCTGTACCTGATGATGGTGTGCAGGCCTCGGACCTGTGGCGTGCTCTCCAGCACGCTGAGCGTCTGAGGCAGCGGCTGCGTCTGCTGGGCAGAAGCCAGGAGTGCCCTGTGACCAAGGAGAGGAAGTTTAGATCAGAAGGTTTTACTGTGTCACTCTGCTGCTCTCTCACAGCAACGAAGCCGTCTGAGATGGCTGAGAGTTCTCCGAGAGCCACTTAATGCAGAGAGATGGACGAGACACAGTGTGAAGGTCAGAGTGGACACAACACGGATATAAAAATTACAATCACAATAAGTGGACCAAAGCCAGAGAAGTCAAAGTACGGATCAGCATACCTGACACTGAGCTCACGCTGCATAAAGAGAGGGCAAGAGAAAGGCAATGAAACGACAGAGAAAATGCAGATACGGAGAAGAAAAAAGTTTCAAAAGCAGGGCTGCACAATCACAGCCAAAATGAAAATTGCAGATATTATTATTAATTAATTCGAGGGACAAAATATCTGATTACACATTTGAATAAACCAAGCACTACTTTCCCTTCCATTTATGTTACATTCCTGATAATATTCAAATAAGATATAACATTAGATTCTTAAACTGAATTCAGTGCATCTCCTAAAGGCAAAATATGAAAATTGCACCAAAAAAAAAAAGCAGAATGTTTTCCAATTAAAATTACAGATGTTCCCTAAACGCCTCACATGCACAGAGAAGCCTCTAGTCTCCTCACTCAGCAGCTAAGAATGGCACGTGACCAAAATTTAGTTTGAAAAGAGTGAAACAAGGAGTTATAATGTCAGATGTACTAAATTGAAACCAAGTGCTTTTATCTGCAGGAGTTGTTCTCTACTAATTATGTAACAATCTATATTGCAGTACATGGGATGCCAAAATCAAGACCGTAAATAATATTTGATTAGTTTTGTAGAACTATTTAAAAATTAAGACTGTCGATGTTATATATTTTTATTGGTAGAAAATCCTATTAAAAACATATTGGTACATTAACAGTAGCAATATTGTAGCTGGACACTACAGCTTTCATCAAAAGTTGCTCAGACTGGAGTAGATGCTGCTTTTATCAGGGAATATTTTCACAATTTTATATGAATGATTGATTCAAAATAAACTACAGTGTGCATTCATTGTAACTAAGGAACAATTGTACACCTTATCTAAATAGTTTTTTTTAACTATCACTTACGCAGAGGCAGTGGAGCACTTTCTCTAACAGACTGATTCAGCTCTGCTGTTACAAGCACCAGTATAAGGAATCTCTGCTGCTCAAAACAACAACAACTCTTGACAACTCTGTACCTCTGGCTGACAGAAAAACCTCACTTCTATAGTTTCCTGTGTCAGACAATCTCTGCTCATCTCACTCAACTTCAAAACTGCGAGAATTAACTTTGTGAATGAAAAGCAATGGTGCAATTTTCTCTTATGTCATTTCACAGAGAAGTGGGAGTCTGTATGTTACGCCTCTTGGACACATGGTGGCGCCACCCTCTAATGTACAGCGAGCATCTTTGCCTCTCACCTCCTCCAGCTGACTGTGAACATGCTGCACTATCAGATCAATGGCCACCATGTTCCCACCGCCTTAGAGAGGAGGAACAAGCAGAGACAAGCAGAGTTAGAGAAGCCGTTGGTTCATTCTTTGTAGAAAAGTCAACAATATGTCAGACATTTAGGTTGCAGTAATGGTGAGGGGGCCTTCCTGTCTCACCTCTTGGCACCACGATATCAGCCAGCCTCATGGTCGGCTCGATGTACTGCTCAAAGGCCGGCTTCACAAACTTGTTGTACTGCTTGATGACGCCTTCAATGTCCCGTCCGCGCTCTGTGATGTCCCTGCGGAGCCGGCGGACGAGCCGAATGTCTGAGTCTGTGTCCACAAAGATTTTCATATCCAGGAGCTGCAGGTGGGAAGAGCAAACACCCCTGAACGGTTCAATAATGTTCACTTCAGCAAAGCAGCTGCGCAAACAGCAACTCCTGCTGATGATTACTTTCCTTTACTCAAGAATTCTTCAAAAACAAAGAAATAAAAGACACACACTGCCTTACCTGAAGCAGCTCTTTGTCCGCAAAGGACATAATTCCTTCAAAAATGATTACACTGGCACCGTACACATTTTTCTGCAAAGAAGGGAAAGAAAACCAAGAGTCTTAAAAGAAGAAAGCTGCTTCATCAACAGTCATTTTTCAGCTTTTTAAAGATTAAAGCTGCAGCGTGTCACTCTGGCAAATGTGTTTCAAAAAACAAAATAAATAAAACTTTCATTGAAGGTTGATATATTTTCAGTTTTGAAAAATTAACCCACAGAATGCAGCTGTCTCATTACTGCTGTTCTGCTCGCTTCTTTTCAAAATTACATGATGCATATTTAATCTAGTGTTTGAGAAAATCAACACTGAGGAGTTTTTCGCAGAAACGAGGCAACTTTACTTGCATGCGATTAAAATTCGACTCACCCAGTCTTTCTGTCTCCTGTGCGTGGTGAAGTCGTACACTGGGATCTTCACACTTTTGCCCTGTTTCAGTTTCCGCAGGGTGGCAACCAGCAGCTCAAAGTCAAAGGCCCCCGGATGGTCGAAGTTGTAGTCGTTCTTTGCTGCCAGGGCCTGCTCCTCGGGGGATAAAACCTGGAAAACACAACAGATTTACCTAAAAAATCACAGTCAAACATTTTAAAAGGAGTAGTTTGACATTTTGAGAAACATGTTTATTCCCTTTTATGAACAGTTAGATGAGGTCGATGCCACTTTTCTGTCTTTCCAGAGAAAGAGCTGTAGTCGGGAGTTTAGCTTAGCTTAGCTTAAAGACTGGAAGAGAGACCGGAGAGTCTAGCACAGATCAATAATCTGAGTTGAAACCTCCATCTATGAGCAGCTTTAAAGACTATTAAAGAGCATATTGTATCTTGTTAAAATGTAAAAACAAAAAAAAAACGTGCACAGCTCCTAATGATAACGCTTGTAATAAGGATGTTATGTCCAACATGTAGAACATGATCAAAAACAGGAATCCAGGTACAAGATAGAAAATCTAATCCACCTGGGAAACAGACATCGGACATATTCAGTTCTCTTCTTGTCAAGACTGTTGACAGAAACAGCAGCTGCTAAAATGAAACAGATTCTTTTGACAATGGTTATGAATATGACTGTAACCACTGTAACTCGTGGGTTAAGTTAAACTATCATTTGGTTTCAGTATTTTTTTCTTTTTATCTGTATTTTTAGCTGTCTGGATACGTGATTTCATTTATAAGTTAATGGTTAACGCTGATGTTAATCATCTTGAAGTTGGATGGATGACAAAAAAAAACTTTAATATCTTTTCACCAAATGTCCAAAGTTTTAAACTTTCCCTCCTTGTAAGATGTTTATTGTGCTCATATACTCATGGTAGGTGCATGAATTTGCATTTGTTCCTTGCATGACCATATTTAGTGTCTTTGTGTGTCGCGCTTCCATACACTGATGAGAAAATAAAATGTAAAAATCTGTTTTACTGTTTGACCTAAATGAACATTTATTAACTCAGAACAAACATGAGATCAGAACACAAATATTAATCAGACACACTATCAGAGGAATGAGCATCTCTAAGTTCCAGCAGCTCGTTCCAGTGATCTGTGTACTACTGGAAACCAGCCGAGGAACTTGTAAAGCCGGTCTGTCTGTCTGGCTCTCTCCTGTAATCTTGTGTTATGCTTGACTGAACTCAAAAAGAGATGTTAAATGTCTCAGCTTATGAAATAAACAAAGACGCAGATCAGCTGACGCCGCCTAGACACCGGTGATGACAGTCCAGCCTTTGAATGTAGCTCACGGCTGCTGAGTGCGACAGCTGCCTGATCCATCTGCAGTAATGAATCGAGCGGCGCTGAGGTACACAGAGTCCAATGGTTTAATGGGACTAACACCAGCATGAACACAAGAAATGTCCATAATCCAGTGTGGACAGTTCAGTGGGTGATTGGTTCTACTCTGTTTCTGCCAAAGAATACAATTGGAATTTGTCATTTTTGAGGAAGATGTTAAAGATGAATGTTATACGACAAACTGCTGTCGAACAAGTATTAACAATGCTGCATTGTGTCAGGTAAAAGTCCTCATAGAGCGTCAATTGGCTGAATTTGCTTTCATTTTAGAGTTTGTCACAAGTTTTAAAAAAAACCAAACACCTGTGACACATGGTTCCTTTTCACGTCCCAACAATTATCAAAGAACATTTGTCTGAACTTGTTGAAGCTGTGTAAATATTTAATATGTCATTTCAAACTTTTTAGTGTAATTTGTTTTCAGGTTCCTCCCAAACACAGATTTACCCATTATTCTCTGTACTTCTTCCCTTACCTGTAGGTAGTTTTTCAATGTGATGGCATGTGTACAAAATATTTAGTCTGTAATTTGCTGGCTATAATCTAAAAGCGTCACCAGAACCTCTTATTTACCGAAAACAGTGACAGCAGCATAATGACAGCTCCGAGGTGCTTTGATGAAAAATGCTCTTAAGATTAACGAAACATCTCCTTCTAAGAGATGATCCTTTCTTCCTGCGGCGAACCCAAAGATAATCGGGAATAAACAAATAAAAAAAGACAAAATAGACTAATATGCATGACTCTCTCACCTTGTAGAAAGAATCCATAGACAAGAGCACAACCCACGGCACATCGAGAGCCTCGATGATCTTATTGGCCACGGTGGTCTTCCCCGAGGCGCTGCCCCCACACAACCCTGCAGATCCACACAGCATTTCAAAGGCCCATTATGTGTGTTTTTCGGAGTGTGTCTAATGTTGTCTGGTGGTATGCATGTGTGATAGCACTAAAGTGTTTATGGGTATAATACGAGAGAATGAGGAGTAAGACAGGTTCTGTGGCTCAAAGCCACGACTTGGCATGCAGGGAAGGCAAAGGAAAAAGCAGTTCAGAGGACTGAAAACATCATCAGCGGGTGTCATACCGATGACAAAGGCCTCTTTGGACTGAGCTCCATGCTCGTCATACCAGGGAGGTCGGCCGGCGGTGTAGATGGTGCGGGTGCCTGTACGCAGCAGGGGAGGCTCTGTTTTACTCAGGGAGGTGGCGCTCTTCCTGCGAGGGGCCCCGGCTGGAGGCAGCAGCCGGTCCAACGAGTCCTCCCCACTCCCACTACAAGACACAAACAGCAGGGCAGGTTACAGCCTGAACACATCAGTCATCGAACAACTGGGAGAGAAGCTGTTAGATATACTTTATGAAGGTCTTTAATCTAACTGTGTTTGTATTCAATAGATTTATGATGGAGATGTATTTATTTTCTACATTAACCCTCTGAATCCCAAAACCTGCAGGTGTGTTTGAAAGGCATGAAACATCACAAAATGACCCCATGTACCAGAACCAGAAACTGTAGACACAATAAGAATGTTCAGATTTTCAAACGTTTAACTTTCTTGAACTACTTACATTCTATACTCTTAAGTGCAAAAGAGAAGCTATGAGCAACTCAGCTCCTACCAGCAGTCATGAGACAGTATTTCAGCTACTTAAATGTTAGTGGTTACACCTGTTGTCACCTGGAATAAGGTTGTTGATTACAAGCAAAATAAATATTCAAAGAAATCGATTTTTTTTTCTTTTTTTATAATTGATGGGATTCAAACAGGTTTTTTTGTTGTTGTTCTTTGTTGAGTTGAGTTTACTTCTGGCCACGGTTGTGCTGTTTCCATAAAGGTGCAGGACTTCATATTGCAGTGAAAAATGAGCCCACAGTGAGTGAAAATGAGCCAGGAGCAAAAAAAAAAAAAACCTCATGTAGGCAACTAGAGCATGCAAAACATTCACATGTTATATGCAAACAAGACTAAAACTCTACGGTCGTGCTGGTGTCTCCATGAGGCTGATCTCAGGTGCTATAACCTAAAGCTACCGTGGCACATATGAACAGAATATGTAGGAATCCTATAATTTTGGGTGCGTATCAGTCGGTAAATATTGGATAACCAAACCATTCGTCCATTACCTTCAAAATGAACAATATTCCCAACAGCCTTAGCTGCACTTTGTGTTTACTGCTGCTTTGAAAGTCTGTTGTTCAAACTGTTCAAAGATGACAACCAGCACCAGATAATGATTTGCCTGAATAACGGGAAAAATCTGGACTTCTTTCATCTCTCTTGCTCATTTTACTTTCCTCCCGTAACTTGTTGATCTTTTTTGTTGATCTAAATAAAATCTGCACACATAAATCTCCCGCTGCAACACTTTTGTGTGTGCAGCACTGGCAAAGTTTTCTCATATTAGTTACTGAAGACTTTATTGTGACACTATCCACCTCCTGATCTTAACTTTCATCTAACGTTGTGAGATGCTAATGTGGCTGCTGACTCTTTGTGTACTGTTAAAAGGCCTGTTAGTGTAAAGCAAGAGAGGAGATGTATTTAATTTTACATATTTCTGTCTGACAGAATGACAGCGCTGCAGTGAAAAACAAAACATTGGGGAGCAATTTTATGTAAGGCGAAACCTGTAGAGCAAGAAGAAAATATTCTGTCCCGTCATGCACATACATTAACAGTGTGCTGTGTAAGACTGTTATTTAGGTTGAATCTAGCTGCTGTTGAAAAAAAACCAGACTGAGACTTTCTTCTCTAAGGCTGCTGTTCTCTGGAGTACAAATTTAAGGTACTTCCATTTTAGAACGTTTTGGAAAATGTACTTTTTAAAAGCACTACGTTTTTCATAACTTGAATCCATATTTTTAAAAGCATGATCCATTGAAAAAAAAAAAAAAGTAAATATCCCAAAGGGGGAAGAAATAGCATTTTTTTTCCAGTGATCAACAAAATGTATCAGTGACTGAGATTAAAATCTTTTTGCTTAGAACGCACACAACTGTTTTCGGAGCCAATTCATCAAAAATGATTTAACAGTTTAAAATTCTCAAATGCAACAATTTGCAGCTTTTCTTTGTATTAAATTAAAATAAATAGAATAACACTTTCAGGTTCGAACACATAGAGGTGCACTCTGAGTATTTGTGATCAAAAATTGGCATTGCTGCATTTTACCATTCAAACAATAAATAGGTTGAGCAAGGTTATTTAGTAGTGAATATGATAAGTAGTTAAATGTAGCTCCACTTAATGTACATCATAGTTACAATATGCATGAATCTATAATATCACAGATATGCTAGCACATTGTAGTGCACCAGTAGGTACACAGGGGGAACTGATCTGCCCTTAAAAACTTTTAGCTAGACTGTCAGTGCAGTAGCTTCCCTCCTAATGGAGTATTTTTTACAGTGCAGCGCGAACAGATCTGAGTACTTCCTGCAGCCCACGTTGTCTTAATGCCACCTCATGTTTCCTAAAACATCACAGCTTAACAAAATCGCAGTGATTAACCTCTCAGCTGTTTACTATGGAACACGCAAAAGTCGTCTCAGCTGTTGCGTCACGCTCTCCAAGGACACTTTTAGGAACTCCTGGGTCTCCACCGGCAGTCATTAGAAATTAGATTAGAGCTCTGCCTGTTTTGTATGTGATGCACAGCTCCATCAAAACAAGGCAAATGTGAATATTAAAACGATACAGTTCAGCACTGACACACTGCAGGAAGCTCTCACACCACAATCCCTGCAAACCAACCTAGATCCTGCACTTCCTCTGACCTCTCACCAGCCCCCATTCAGAGACTATTTATAGCGCACACATGTATCCACAGTATGTGTGTGAGCTTCGTGAGGAGAAAACTGGCATCCTGCCTGCGCTGACAGAACACAACATCAGCAGCAACAACACTGCAGTGAGTCAGATCCTACCTGCGGTCAGACCTCAGCGACCAACACCCGGAGATTCGGGCTCCTGCACAGTCCAGCAGAGTCAGATCTGCTTCAGACGACAACCTGCTGCCCTCCAGCTCGCCTGTCACCGTGGTAACCTCCCAAAACAACAGCAAGCGGCCTTCAACGCTGACCGGGGTGGTGTGTAAATTACAGGTCTGTTTCCAGTCTGCCTTCACACATCTGTTATCTGAGGAGCCTCGGTGAAATGTGCTCCATGCTGCTGCTGTGTCCTCCTTTCTCTGACTGTGACGGACTCTAAGAGGATCAGTGTAACACTGACAGCAAAGAGCTCCTTGGCTAGTATTAATAGAGTCACCTGTAAATAAAAGAGGACAGGACGGACATCTTGTGTTGATCCTTCCTCTCAGGTCATTGACCTGATCCACAGAAACACTACAGAGCCGGAGGGACGACATAGTTCATGCAGTAACAAGACACACAAATCATCTGAGACCGCAGCGAAAAATAGACCATCCAGACACTCAAATGAAGCCTTGCTTTGTCCAAAAACCCAACAAAAATATAGATATAAAAGAGAAAATAGTAGAAAGTCCTCTATATTTGGAACTGATCCTTGAAATCCTTATCTATCAAAAACTGTTTGAGCCCCTTAATTATTAATATCGTAATAAACTTGTTTGAATTTTGTCTCCGGCTTCTACTTACGAATTTATTTGAGTTTTAATTATTTAAATGTCTCTGAAAAACTCTTTGATCAGCACCTGCTGTTACCATCCACAAATAAATTTGACTTGAACACTGTCATAATGAGTACGAGTTCTACTTTAGGAGCACGTTGCTGTTAATATTGATGTGTTGTTTAAAAATAAAAACACCAGTTTAAACTTATAGAGTATTTTGGGGGTTTTTCTGGACTCAGAATGGGCTTTTTTGGAGTTTAGTCTGACCCACCGGATGTTGGTTGCATGCATGAACATATTACTGGCTGCTCATTTCAGGCAACTTTCTTCTCCCCTTCCATTTTCTGCATATTATGGTTTTCAAAATTCCAAAACTTTTAAATTGCAGAAGGATTTGGATCATGCAGTAAGACAAACCTGCTTGATTCTTTCAGTGAATAGTTGTCAAGATGCACAAAGAATATGAATAATATACATTTTCTGTCTAACAGGGACATTTTTACATGTTTGCCTGCTGGTTACGGAAAACGTTTCGCTTTCCAAACATGGCTGATTGTCCGCAGTGAGCAAGCAGGTCTGGACAAAGGAATGGTCATGATTTTGGTAGTGTCCCAATTGGCAGCGATAATAGAGGAGCAGGTGAAATCCTACAGCCAACAGGGGTAGCTGCAGCGTACGTGGGTCATTATCCAGACACAAGAAGAAAACAGCTGTATTCTATTGTATACGAATCTCCTGAAATATTTGTTTGCGACGATAGATGTAGGGCCATACTGCAAACCTCCACGATTTGAGATCGAGCACTGGGGATAGCCATGATAAAGTACATATGGGGGTTTTGGTTTAATAAAGTTCTGCAAGAGCCACATACTGCTAGCAAATCATCTGTGGCTTTAATGAGTCCACTGAGCTCCACCAGAGACAAAATACAGGCAGGCTTCACCTATTAGACACTGATTATCAAATTATTTTTATCTCGTTTATCTGTAAAAATCTTGTTGTGAAGTCAAGAGACACCTTTTATTGGTCTTGGACTTTGCAACGGTAAAGTTTTAGTCTCCACATGTAAAAGTTTTCCACCAAAACAAGTTTCCCAAAGTCACTGATTCGCAGAGGAGCAGTCACAGCATCCTGGGTTTAGCTCCAACCAAGATGACTATGATTGGTTTACAAAAATACAAACAAGCCAGAGCTCTTTTTTTTAGTACTGAGGTTCAAACAGACAATTCTGCAAAACAATCTGATTTGGGTGGTGACTATGCGAAACAATGCATCTATGGAATCACAGGAGTACCGCAATAAAAAATAAATTGTTAAAAAAATAAGGAAATAAATGTGTAAATATTAAGAGGAATTAATAAAAACATATGGAATATAAAGGTAAATTCTGTCTATGCTTTTCCCTTTTGCCTTTGTTTTTCCATTTTGTATTTGCTTTTCCATTTTGACTTGACTTGTTTTTACTTGATGGAGTGAGCTGTCAATCAAATGGCTTTGGGCGGGGCTTTCTGTCCAGGGTGAGTAGTCAATACCTGATCATAGGATTCCTCTTGGCGCTAGCTCCTAGCGTGGCTAAAGGGAAGTGAAGTCACCTTGGCCCTGAGATGAAGTACACAAAGTTAAAAAGTTCTTGTTGAGCACCTCTCCTTAATTCCTACACATACTTCAGATTTATTTTTCTGCCTTTCTCCAGTCAAACTGCATGCATACTTCCTCTCAAAGCCAGTGTTTTTTTTTTAACAGATTTATTTATTTTTTATTATGGCACTACTATGATTCCGTATACAGCCTGATCAGTCTAATATCTGATACAGAAATCATCATAATCATTTTGATACTAGTGATTTTCCTGTTTTTTTTTAAACTTAAGTGATCTGAATACTTCTTGCACCGCTGTACTTGAGTAAACGTACTCGGATACATTCCACCTGCACCTGTTTCCAGCTGACTATGTTTAGCAGAAGTTTAGAGGGCAAAAAATAGTTTTTGCATGATCGAAAAAAATAAAATCACTTTTTTTTTTTTAAACACACAAAAAAAACTACATTCTGATTCTGAAAATGGACACAGGTGTCAGAAAGTGTCTCATCGGTCACTGTGAAGTCAACAATACAGACCACAGACTGAGCAGGTCTATTAAAGGTAATTCAGGTTTTTCTTTTTTTTTTTTCTTAGTGGGTTCTCATTGGAGAGTCTATGACGCACAACTGTGTCAACATGCAGCTCACCTACTTCTGAAGAGCTCAACACATCACTGCAGCTACATCCACTACTGTGAGGATGCTGCTTAGTTCATGAATGCACACCAACACGCAGAGCTTTAACTGAACGGCAGTAATAAATGTGGACAGATATCTTTGCTCTGTTAGGAGGAGGAAGAGGATCATTACAGGATCAGGACGCTGCCGCTGCTGCTGCTGCGGGCTACATATAAAAATAAAATAAAAAAATAAAATAAAAAAACCATGAACAATTTCTGAGCAAGGAAGTCAAACACAGGTAAAAATACTACTAGTGTCATGTACCTGTCCGAGCGGGACGACATTATTTTCCCGCACTCCGCTTCGGTTGGGATCCTGCGACCTCGGAGCCGGCATCGGCTGGTTAAAGCCATGGATGGATTCCTTCTTAACCGCACCGGGGGATTGTGGGTAATGTAGTTTATCATCACGTGCTTCCTACACACTCACTCAAGGGTAACACACATGAATACACACAGTCCAGAGCTTTCAATATACAAACTGTCAGATATAAAATAAAAAAGAGTGCTGATATTTTTAGATTTTTTTTATTTATTAATGATTTTTCTGACATTAAAAAAAAGGTTCAAAGAGAGAGCGAGAAAGAGGAAGGAAACAGTATAGGGAGGAAGAATAATTAATCACAGCACAGAGTGATACACTGACAAAACAGATTGTCATGATGCTTTTTCATCACAGTTCAGAGTCAGTCTGTGAAGATGAAGTCAGTTTATCGTGCAGATAACGGATGAAAAGCTGCCACTTTCCACTTAACGGCATCATTCTGGAAACCACTGCTCGCTGGATGTGTTTATCCCACAGGTCTGATTCACATTTCAGTTTATATCATGATATATCCTATGGTTCCAAAGTGTCCATGTCTTCCAGCTATGATATCTTTCCAAAGGAACCTGCAAAAGACAGAAAGATTGACACTTTTCAGATAAAGGTCCCATATTGTGCCCCATTTCACCAAATTAAAGTCTCACATGTTGTGAAAATTCTTTCAATTTTTTAGCCTCAAATCTTGCAAAGACAGTTCATTTCACAATGAATGCACAACCCAGTATCTGTCGCTTTTAAATATAGCTGCTGCTGTCCACACCCACTTCACGAAGAACACTCAATCTGCAACACATCAGCTGATACAGATAGAATAGAATAGAATAGAATAGAATAGAATAGAATAACAGATGTGATGAGTGTGTGATACCAGGACTTTACATTGCGTCTAACTTTCTCTCTCAGTGATCATTTTATATGAAATATACGGATATCATCAGATTCATCTGTTATAAAATCAGTATTTTAGCAGTGCAGAGCCACTACTCGGAAAGCTGCTCTGAAGTGGCTGCGGTTAACATGTAGTTTTAATGGGCAGTCTCTGTTTCATACTTATTCCATTGTCTGACAGCAGATACAGAAACACATGTAAATAAGCTTTGTTGGGAAACCAGCTGTATTAAAATGCAAGATGTGTGAGCACAGAGAGCAGAAGAGAAGTAAATAGCAGCTAAGTTTCATTTTCACTGAAGTGCAATGTGTGACATGAAAACACAACCTCTCTGATTGTCCCACACATATACACTTTGTGCACTAAAGCTTTATTCTTTAATTGTGTATTTATTCCATTCTTTATTCATTCTTTCTATTTGTTGTTATTATAAGTGTTAATGTGCATTCTATTTTTTTTATTTATCAAACACAGAAAAAAAGAGAGAGAGAAAACTGCCACAAGAAAGCACATCAGCTGCTGATGCTCTAAATCTCAGTCACTGAAAAACCCATAATAGTTTAACATTCTCATTCTCCACTATTCACACCTTCACACGTAAACGCCTTCAATATATTGCAACAAAACCCTCAACTGAGAAATGAGGACTATGAATATCGTAAAAATTCAACTTCCCAGGGAGCCAAACTTCCAACTTCTTTTTCAATTATACAACATTTTATTTACTGAGCTTTAGAGGTGCTGCTGGTGGATTTTTGTTCACCTGTTTGCAGCCTCGACACTAAGCAAAGCTAACCAGTTACTGGCAGAAGCTTTATATCTACTGAACTGATGTGACAGCGGTGTTGATCTGCTTATCTAACTCTGCCAGAAAGTGCAAGTAAAAAATGTGAATGTCAGAAATAGCAAGCTCTTCCCTCATAGTTTAGGTTTAGGAATACAATGTCAAAAATTAAAAAAAAAAAAAAAGATACACACCTCTGCTGAGCAGCTGCAGGTTGCGTCCCTCCTCCTGCACCTGCAGCTGCAGCACCTGTTGCAGCAGCTCCTGTCGAAGTGTTTCTTGCACTAAACCCATCCTCTCCAACTTCTCCCCATTCAGACGTAGCAACGCACGACCTGCAAGGTCAAACAGAAGGTTCAAAAATGTGCTTCACTCACAGAACTATAATTTATACTGTGTATCTACTCATTACGGTAGCAGTGCGACCTGTGATGGCGTGATGGGAGAACGCCTCCACGTAGGTTAGGTAGTTGTGTGGACAGTGTTTCTTGAGCCATTTACAAACATCTTGTTGTGACCAAAGCACGACGGGACGGATCAGGCTGGGCTGTGTCGGGCTGGTGTGATAGATCCCATAACTGTCACTGGAACGGTACTGTAGATAAACAAGAGGAAACACACATAAATACAGAGAATATAAAAGGAATACTTTCACATTTTGGGAGACATGTTTATTCACTTTCTTAACATGAGTTGACACCACTGCGCTTTAAAACCCCCAAGCAGTTTCGGGGCTTTATTTGCTCCTGTCACATTTTTACACACTGTGGGCTCATTTTTCACAGCAACATAAAGTCCTGCACCTCAGTGGAAAAAAACACAACAACAGCTAGAAGTGGAGAGAACTCTTTTATGTGGTATGACACAGGAGTTTAAAATGTTAAATATGAACCTGAAGCAAGAAAACAGTTAGCTTAGCATTAAGGCTAAAAACTGGGGGGAAACAGAATGTCAGCTTGTGTTGACATTGAGGGCCATGTGCATGAATTTTGCTTGGTTGCGTGCAGTAGCTTTCTGAAGTCTTCCTCAAATTGGCTGGCAAACAGTTTAATTTGCATAAGAAGGTTGCTAAAGGGGTGACATAACCTGGAAGTGGCAGCCATAAGAGGATTCACTGGTTTTATTGTCATGTACAACATGAAACAAATTATCAGTGTAATGCAATTCCTCAAAACAGTACAAAAACAATAAAAACAAACTAAAATACACAGAGTTCAGTATAAGACAAAGCAAGACGTCTGTCACGATAAGGGCCATCTTGGAGAAGAAAAACATAACAGCTGGTTGAAGCTATGGAAAAGTGCTTTGATGCTTCCTTTCTTATCTTCTTTAGCATAAGATCCACTGGTACTTCCTTTACAAAAGGAAAGGCGACAATGATGTTGCATAATTCCTTGCAGCAGCAACATTTAATGCTCCATCTACGTCAGCAACATCTGTCTTCACATGATTATGATGTCTAATGCGAATGCAGAAAGACTCCTTTAGCACCAGGGTTGTCTTGTCCTCATTAGTTTTCCTTTAGGTCTTCTTGACGCCAACACGTTTACATCACGTCTCCAAGTGTTCTGACAATTTGAACCTTTGTTTCCTTTAGAGAGATGCTAAACTAAGCTAGCAACCTGCTTTATAGTTTTCATGCAGACTTGAGAGGTGTATCTTCTAATTTATTTTGACATGAAGGCCAAACTTAATGTAACTGAGCTCAACAGGACACCAGTGAGAGAGTAACAGCCACTTATTAGAAGTCACTTCACAGTAGCATTTCTTTAAGTCCCAATACTAAAATGTTCCCAAGACATACGGTGAGTTCCAAAATCCTTACTTCCAGACTATACAGTATGCCACAAAAATAGCGCATATCACAATACATAGTATGTCCAAATTACCTGGATGTCTGTCTACATCAGGTTAAATTTGGCAATATGCAAGCAAGGCACAATATTATGAAAAATAAAAGAATCCAGTTTGGAAGCTGTGCTGACGTACTCAGTGTTGAATTAGACAGTCTACCTTAAGTACACAGCAACAATGGACAGTTATAAGTGGCATTTAACTCCTGAAAGGGGCACCAATGAGACTCTTAATGAAAATACGTCCAGTGGATAAACACACTATACGAGGTGTGTCAGAACAGTTCCAAGACTGGTGTCACAAAAGATAGACTTCAAATACAAACTACAAACTACAAGTTTTCCCCTTTGAAGTAATACCCCTGGAGTCTAACACACTTTCCCAGCCTTCTCTGTCACGCCACCATGCACTCCTGGAAGGATTCATCCGGGATCCTCTACAGCTCCGTTGTCACAGCCATCCTGATGTCGTCCATGTCTTCAAAACGGGTCTCCTTGATGACCCCCTTGAGCTTGGGGAAGAGGGAAACAATTACACAGAGCCAGGTGGGGTGAGTAGGGAGGCTGCTCCAGCACGGCGATGTTCTTTTCAGCCATGAACTGTCGGATGCTCGGGGCATTGTGAGCAGGCGCATTGTCATGGTGAAGCAGCCACGACTTGTCCTGCCACAACTCTCGCCTCTTCTCGTGCACTGAACGAAGCAAACGCCTTTGTAGAAGTGCTGGTTGATTGTTTGAAGGGGAGAAGCCGTAGTTTGTAGTTTGGGTTTGAAATACATCTTTTGTGACACCAGTCCTGGAACTTTTCTGACACACCTCGTACAGACCCTGTTACAAGAGTGAAGAGTCAGACTACTCCTTTAAAACTGTTACTGTCACCGGATTTAGACACGGAAGTGATGTGATCAAATCCTCAAACACACTTGGCTTCCCTTAATTGAACATGAAGTGTAATCTGTGTGAATATTGCCAATTATTCAAACATCGACTGGACATTTTGTATCAAACACTACGGTCACACATAGATGTGCCTACTATATAGCACGAAGTGACAAGATCAGTCCTCTGTAAGAACACCTTTCAAAGTCACTAAAGCACAAGGGGATGATCATGGCCATATGTTCATGCAGATCAAACGCTCTGTGTAGATGTGAGCTTCAAAGTTGCCTGAAAGATCAGCAAAGATGCGGCAACAGCAGCAGCACGGAAAGAGAAGCGCATAGACCAGTGTGATTTTCAGATCCAGCTCTTTAATCTTATGGATGCGCAAGATGTTCCTTTGATCAGCCAATCAGGTTTAAAAATTTAGCAAGTTCACCATTAGGTTCCCTATGTCTCCAACTCAATATTTTCTGATATGCAGGATTAAAAAAAAGGCTGGCTTACATTAAGAACATTAGGAGTCAGTTGGGCAAAGTTCCTGCTGAAGGTCTGTCAGAGTTTACTGCTCTCTCTCTGGTAACATGCTGCTCTTTAATCAATATAAGGAATCATCCAGCTACATACAACAGCTCAATATTGTATATTCTAATAGAACAAGATGGTTTTACGTATATTTGCAACACAAAGTTGCACTCAAGACAGTTGTGGTAGATTCTCCTCAGTCATAATAAAACTAATATTGCATTCCATGAATCTTGCGGTCTGTCTCTCTGTGTGGCCCTGTGATAGTCAGCTGGGATAGACTCCAGCCCCCCCGACAACACTACAGAGGATTAAGTGGTGTATAGACAATGGATGGATGGATCACGTAGCGCCACAAACAATCGCTTTTCTTCTTTAGAAAATATATTTCAATGTGGTCTAAAAATCTAACATGTTGAGTGAAAAAGTCAAACAAAAATCCAGGCGATTTTGCCCCCTGTGGACCATGAATGTCTGGCAAATTCATTACAATACACTTTACTCTCACTGTATCCACAATCCTTTATGATCCACATCAGTTAATCATTTTTTAAGGAAGATGGCAAATTCATCAGACACCTGTCCCAAGCATGAGTCTCATCACTGCTGACTACTGAGCACTTGAGGAATACGGGCCAGCAACACCAAATAGAATTTAAGAGCAATGTACAGTCATTTATCTTACTTACATGTAAAGAGAAAAAAACAGGGCACATTATCCTCTGTTGTGATTTACACTTAATATCAAACTACAACAGATATAATTAGAGACATGTTGCTCTGTTCAGACAGACATTTGTTTCGACCCAATATAAGACTTGTTTAACCTTCTAAACCCTAAGAGGCCTGTAACCTCACAGATTGCCAAAATTACAGCATTTACCAGCATCAGATTTTCAACTTTCCAATAACCCTCGACCTAATAATGTGTGACTTGGTTTTGTCAGGAAACTTAACCAAATCTAAGGTTAAAATTGTGATATTTTAACAAAATCACATTATTCTATATTCCATTCTATTGCCCATCCTAAAAAAACCAGATTCTGTAATAAACTAAATTTCTGCACCTTTTACTGGCTCAGCTGCAGCCGCCAGTCAAATGACAAACTTATAAGGACTTTTCAGTTGAACTGCAAGCTGTGTTTACACAGAACAAATAGGAGACAAGTATGAAAACAAACTACAAATGTAAGTATTAACATATCTAAAGTATGCAGAGACTTTCTTCTTCTTGTGCTGATAACACCTGTGGGCATGTGGAAAATTGTTCTATATGTTGATTCCAGATTTTTTTTCCCTTTTTTCCCCCCAAATAATCAGAGAAAAATTCCCTTTGTTTTAGAACTTTGTTATACTGCACAAAGTACATTTTTAAATTCCCTCTGCTACTAACTACGGTTGTGCTGCTTCCATAGAGGTGCAGGACTTTATATTGGATTGAAAAATGAGCCTGCAATGAGCAAAAAAGTGACAAGAGCTAAAAAGACACTGCTTGAGGTACAGAGGGTTAAAGCTAGAGTCTGCAAAAAAAAAATTCTAGTGCGTTTGTTGAAAATGTCTTTACAGCCGGACAGCAATCAACAAATTAGGTGTTTTGATAATGACTGGAAAAATCATCTTCTATTTGTGGCAGTCACAGACCTGTAAAGAGTCTGTCCAGTCACTGCACTCTGTCTGCATGAGTCTACACGACTAACCTGACACCATGATGGAGCTGATGAGCCGACAGCACAAGAAGGGAAATACAGCCGTATTTTACAGTTGCACTTAAACCTGCCACAACTTACACTGTTAAACATCACATTTGTGTATTTGGTGCATCTTTCAGAGCTCTTGGTGGTCCCACCCTCCTCTAGTTTCACCAGGACATCACTGTGTGTACATGGTCACCACTTGTCTGCATTGTGGACTAGTTATGAGCAAGTGTTGTTAGATGGTATTTATCTTCTGTGAGTCTACACTGGCTTTCAGCATTTGATGCTTTGTGAATGTGGTGAACTTATTTACATTTTTAGACACAAGGTAGTTTCAATGCACCACACTCTAGTTCCAGTTTACTCTCGCTGTATCTACAATCCTTTGTGATCCACCTTAGATAAATCTAATGGTAAATCATTTTTAAGGAAGATTTATTTATTTATTTATTTATTTCCCCAAGAAGCTGAGCAGCTAAATATAAAACTTTTTTTTTTTCTTAAATCACATGGATGGAAAGAGTGATTTATTCTGCTTTATCTGAGGCTGTATGTTGCTTTACTAATTACTGTTTTCTCAGTGCTTGTAGTTGAGCCTAGTAGGGATGTCAGAAATGATGTGCCTTATTTTCAGTGAAGTCCTGCAGCTGTTGTTGTGGTACAACATGCAGTAAATGAGGATCCAAATGAGGAAAGATGCCGAAAGACTACAAGCTGAGAATCAAGTATTTTTCTGGCTCCTGACTGACTTCTAACCCATCAAGGGACACTTTTGTAGTAAGCTTATGATTTTATCTTTACACTCCCCTCTCTACACTCCAGATTTCCTTTATTTTATTTTGACGTGTAACCCAGCGCACAGTACGTCTCACTTCACACCCTCATTTTTGGAACATCTGGCTGCTGATTTAAGCCTCTGGATGACTGTATTCTGGAGGTCACACAAAGGAGCGATACTTAAAAATAGGGTGTTCCGTCATTTTAACGTCATTGTTTGACAACGAGTGAACGTTTCCCTCAATTCATCAAAACTAAAATGTGTGAGACAGCATTCATAATGCAGCACAATCCCCTACTTTCCAAATGTCACCATTTCTACTAGCTGGTTAATTTACTATTTTCATTTTGTGGATTATAGGTCAAGTCAGTGAACCTGACTTGATATACTTTTTGTTAAATTTAGTGCGTGCTGAAGACAAGTCTGGTGTTAATACATAGGCCTGGTGATGGAAATGACTCGGACTAATGCACTATTCCAACACTATTCCAGTGAGTCCTGTGCACATCTGACAGGGAGAAAGCGAAGGGAGACGAGATATAGGGATTTTCATTTATTTAATTTACCTATTTAATTTAAGTTTTTACACGTTCTCGTTTTTTGGTCTTTACTTTTGACTTTAAAGCACATTGAAAAGGTTCCACATAAGGTTTGATAAGGTGCCACATAAATAAATTTGCTTGCTTCAAACTTTACAAAAAAAAACAATCCACAATCAAAAAATATTACTTTTGTAAAGAAAAATTCAAACTAAAGACCCACAAAAAGGCATTAATTTATTTTAAAAAACAAACCAAAACTGTAAATCATGTTCTCATTGAAAATTGTACATAGTGATATGCTCTTTTACTGTACGTGACCATAAAATGACAGTTTCTACCATATTTAAATCAGCTAAAAATGTAATTTTACACATATTTGTCATTACTTTCGCAGTTTTTACAGTTTTTGAATGCTACAGTACTCCACCATTCTTTTTACGTTTTTTTTTAAAAGAGAACGCTTGTTTCCAGTTTTTCTTTTACTTTTCACGTTCTGTCAACCTTTTTACAGAATCACTCTCAAACCGACATGCAAGCTGTGGTAAAGAGGAGACTGATGCACAGAAGAAAAGTGAAGAAGAGTGCAACATGTAAAATAAATAAATAAATAACAGCTGAAGAAGTATAAAATACTGTACACATGTTACAGTGCAGTGCAGAGACACAACAGTGATCAAGTTCATGTTCCTCAAGACAAAAATAAACCGACCACCACATTATGTTCAACCAAGAGGATTGAAGCAAACAAACAATGCAGTGCATAGAGCTCTGTTATCAGCCCGGCCCAGTTCTGTGTTTGCAGCTTTAGCCTCAGCTCATAACAGTCTTTTAAAGAGCCTTTATGGGGTGAAGACAAAGGCATGGGCTCTCTGACTTGTAACCAGGGGCTTTAAATGAGGCCAGTTTGCAGCATAAATGAATTGTCTCCGTTGACGACGCTGACTGTGCGAGCAGACAATGTTGTATCAGATAACGAGAAACTTTCAAACTGGAGCAGAACACTGAAAGTGAATGTGATGATGTTTAACATAAAAAGATCTATGAAAATGGATGACTGTTTATTATCCAGCAACAACAATCACGGCCCAGAAACTATTAGGCATTTGGTACCAAACTAAATTCTGTTTCTTTCCGCTCTCCGTCAACAGACACAGTGGTGCTGCAGCAGTGAGTGTTGGAAGACCTGTGCTATTTAAAGCCAAGCTAAAAGGCTGTTAGAGCCCACCAACCCGCTGGGGAGAGAGCGACATCCATTCTCTGCTAACAAAGTGCCCATTTGCAACAATGGATGGTGACCGGCTGCATTTGCCAGACTATGATTTTTGCTTTGAGACTTCTCTGCACAGAAATCTGAGAGAAGAGTTGCTGAGCGCCAGTGTGGGTCGTCTGAATGTTCTCTCCTATTAATAAGATAAGGACAATATTTTATTCAGTGATTTCTCAAGTAAGCATTCGATTTGTTTGGTGTCTGCACGACGTACACAGTCAAACGGATAATTAAAAGGAAAGTCTAAGGGGCTCTAATGGTCTTCTATTACATATAATGTGATTGCTGCAGTTTATTTAAATCACAATGATTATTGTCAGTTAAATAAGAAGAGTTATTTTGAAGCATTTTAAGCAAGGATTCATGCAATTGGAATGTACTGCACTTGGTGATTACAGTGATTACAGTCACACTGAAATTAAGATTATTCTTGATTTTGGGCACAAAAAAAGAATACTCAAGTACTGGGCCTATTTTGCCATTTAAAAAAAAAGGCATAACACTGATTTTCTGCAAAATTGTAGTAACAGTGTGCTCAGGGGCTTCAGTGGTGTGCTACTGACTGGAGCAAGCCACTTCATGTAAGATGCTTTTTTTTTTAGCCTTTATTAAACAAACCTATGGTTATTTATCTTTAGTGATTTAAAAGGTGGAGAGCAAGATTCTAATTCAATAGCATTTTTACAGTTTCAGTAAATATTTCCCCATGGTCTTCGAGCTGTCTGTTCTGTGTATGTGCCAAAAAAAAAAAAAAAAGTTTCTACACAGCTGTGGCTCTGTAAATGGGAAACAAACAAAGTGGCTCAGACTGATCCACACAACACATTACAGACAACGGGAGAAACACAGTAAATCGGGCATATGCCAAGATTCAACAGTCGTTTTCCACAACTGTAGACTCCACCTTCACCATCTCTCATGCTATTAAGAAGAAATGTTCCGATCAGGTTTTCTAGTGTTTAGTATCTGTCGATATGATCCAGTACCACTTTCCGAGATAACACACGCTCCAAATATCGCAGAATAGTTGTAGTACCAGCTTAAGTCTTACTGTTTAACGCAGTAGCAATAAGAAAGGTGGTCACCTGGATTACAGGCACTTCAGTGTTGGCAAGCAGAGAGTATGTAGGGGTCTAACTAGTAAAGGGCCACCATGAGAAAATCTTCTGTGTTGCTTAATGACCCTGGGCCAGCGCTTAGTGTGTTGCAGACGATTCAACGCTAGGACAGTGCTCTCATATCTAAGCCACCAATTAATCAATTATTTATTGATAATAGCTGCATTTATCAAGCAAAATATTCAAATCTAACACCTGCCACAAATTGCGATATCCCTTTAACACATGTGTGATATATGTAATCACACGTGTGTAAGATGTAAACAAAGAATCAGGCTTTGGTTCGTGCTGATACTGCTCAGTTAAAAAAACACTTGATCTGCCCCAATCAGACATCCCTACTATTAGGTTTATGTGCCTGTTGACAACCAGAAGCGAGTTAGATTAAATTTCTAAGACTTGGCACAGATTCCTGGTAGATGTTATGTATTGTCCATGTTGTTGCAACAGCTACTGATGTAGTAAGATATACTTTCAACAACATAGGAAGAAGTAGGTAGCCTGGATACCTTCACATGTCACTTTGATGAGTCCAGTTGTGTTAAAACTCAAAGCAACTGATGGTCCCATGACCTCAACACACTGTGTGCTAGATCATGATTACACTCATGACACACTGAGGTAGGGAAAGTTCAAATCACAGATGGTACAAAGCAACATCTAGTGGCTCTGCAGCTGGCTGACAGTCTGATTGTTGGAACTGAAATTCTGTTAAAAATGTTTATACTTCCCACCCACATGGTGACAACATCAGCAGTCTGCGATCACACTTCTGTTAATACACAGAGAATATATAAAACAATTCTAGTTCCAGTTTGACTTTAAGCAACACCACAGTTACATTATGCCCCACATCATCATGCTTAGCGAAGCAGAAACATGCATATCTCTTTCAGAATGAAGAAAACCTGAGGGGGTTATCACAACATTAGCCAGGTGTGCTGTTCGACGTGTTGAGGTCATGTAGGTGCTCAGTACCTGCAGGGCCTCAGTGCCCGGCTGCTGCAGTAGCTTCACTGTTCTGCCTCCTGCAGTTTTCTGTCCGCGCCCGTCATGCCAGGTTAGGTTCCCACCCGTCCGTCGACTCAGCTGCTGCTTAAAGTCCTCAGGCAGAGCCCTGTACTCCACAGCTGGCCTGCAGAAACTGAAACTGGATGCAGCTGGGAAGATAAAGGCAGGCGGTATAATGATTAGACAGCCAGATCTGCTGACAACATAAAAACAGCACGAGACTTACTGTGCAAAAAACTCCCTCACTCTGCGTGACAGAGTAACAAAAGCCAGCGTCCAACCCACCTGGACACCCCATCATTCAGAGATGAGCTCATTATGAAAGACCTGCTCGGACCTGTTCTACTGACACACACTGAGCAGGCACGAAGCCCGGACAAGCTCCTGGCTAAGTCTCGGAAGTCAGTGTTCAGGTACCCCAATTACTCTGTGAAAAGCTTGTAGGCGAATGTCAGAGCTGTGAGGCAAGCCACTTTCTCATCATTACGAAGAGGCCTTCCGCCTGCAGGCAAACATCCAAGCCCACTCAACAGCAGGTGGCTTCCAACATCCAGTAATTAAAGAGAGTTTGGAACTACAGTAAACACGCCTAGCTGGCACAGATTCTGGCAGAAAGCCACGGGTCATTACGGATTCATGTGCCAGATTGGAAGGATTTTCTTACCGTGTTTGAAGCTATGTGTGTTGCTGTGTTTGTGTGTGTGTTAATGTGCATCTTCAATATCTTACGCTGACTAAGAGAATCTGAAAAGAGGACAGAACGAGAGAGACTGTCAGGGGGGAACGGGGGTTTGGAGGAGATGAAAGAGTGTCTTGGTTTTTTTTCTAGCTTTGTGCCTCTCCTCTCTGTCATTCAACGTCTCCCACTGAGAGCCGAGCCAAACAGAGCCCCGCCATCATCAAGGCAAACCAGCAGCATCAGGTTATTATGAATAAAACTCTGTATGCGATTTGTGTTTCTTTGAGGTTTTACTCCACCGCTGTGCACGTACGAACCCTCCCTCACAGCGTTACTCGCCTACGCTTTTGCTGTAAACACAAATGTGCCCCTTTCATGGATTCAATATGCATAATTAAGACCACTTGTCAGAGCCTTTTTTCCTTTTCATTTCCTCTAGTTTTGCTCCTCTACAGGAGCAAAAAGTTCTCATTAACCAACACACACACACATGCATGCTGCCAGCCCTGGGTAGAAAAACACTTTCATGGGGCCAAACCTTCCTAAACAAACTGTGGCAAGTGTCTCGCCTGCTTGCAATTATTAATGTGGCATTTTGGAGTCTGTGCTGTAGATTAAAGCTCTTCTTAGAAGGGTTTTTAAAAATTCTAGCTTCAGCAAAAGAAAAAGCAGCCCATATTTATCTCTCAAAAAATCAGCACAAGGGCTTTAATGAGTAGCTGTTGGGATTAAATCCAGTTAAGAGGAAGTTAAAATCACTCCATGCACCAAACTGACCACAGCAGCATGAATCTAGTGATGCCTTTCGCTGTCCGTTTCAGCACCATGCCACTGACCATCCACAGACCACCATCTATCCTCCACTTGAATGCCACAATATCCCAATAATATCTCTGCAGGCGTAAACGTGACACTCAGATTTAAGTTAAGCAGTCCCATTTCTTACAGATCTAATGTAGTGGGGGGAAGTTTTCAGCCCTTAAAGTGACGTTCTAACCTCAGACACTGCTCCTAGGCTGCTCAAAGTGACAGCACAGCAGTCTGGCAACATACCTGATGAACTGGTTTAGCGAGTACAGAGTTAAAGCAGCGAGCTCATGCGTGCTTTAAGTTTCCATGCAATGGATTGACGTCGAAATGTAACCACAGAAAGCTTCCTACCGTCCACAGCCATGGTGTTAGTGCGCTGGAGAGAATCTAGTCAAAGAGTCCCATCGTCCTGCGTCCAGCTCCTCTTCCTCCTCTCCTCTCTGTGTTCACCAACAAAACTTTCAGTGAGGTCTGTCGGCGGCAGCAGCAGCAGCAGCAGCAGAGACGCTCCACATCCTCCCCAGTGCTGCTCCTCCGACTGGGAAAAAACGCAGCTGAAGCAGCTCTGGCAGCGCTCTGCTGCTGGAGTGTGCGGACTGAAGTTGCTGAAGACGGGCAGGAATGTCCCCGAGCAGCTGGCTGACTGGTTCCGCTGGCTCATGAGCGCGCAAGCGTGTGCGCGGCGTGTGTACTTGTGTGCGCTTTTTTTTCTCCTCCTCATCCGTGTCGTGAGAATCAGACGCGCGGCTTTTTCTCAAGAGCATGCATGAGCGCAGTGAGCTCAAAGTGCAGCCCCGGGCCCTGTAATTAACGCAGCCAGTGGAGACTCTAAAAAACAGCCGGATGAAAAGGCTTCTCATCGCTGCAGCATCCACCATAAGGAATTCCCCTTTGCCTTTTTTCTTAAAGAAAGGGAGCTCTGTGCGCGCCTGTGGGCAGCGCGCCCTGCCTGTGATGGAGCTCTATGTGAGGTTTGTGCAGGACAGATATGAGTGAGGCTGCTGCTGCTCCCACCTGCCTCAGACCCGCTTTATGATCACATCTGGTCCCACAGTGGGCGATAGTAGTGGAGGAGGTGATCTGTGAGCTCCTGTTTGTCAGCACAACAGCACCAAACATCACTACAATCAAAACTCATAAAAATATAAAACAAACTAAAACATTATTTTCTTTTCCGCCTTTCTTTGTAGTACCTTTTAATTGTTGTTTTTTTTTTTTTATCCAAATAGGAAATAGAAGAAAAGAGACATAAAAAAGTACCACGAAACCACAAAAGAGTAACAAAAAAATTCAATGTTGACCTGGTTTAAATACAGTAAAACCGTGCAATTTACTCCTAAACAACAAATTACTATTCATAAAACCACAATAATAATAACAATAATAATAATAATAACTATAATAATAATAATAATAATAATAATATAATAATAATAATATAATATAAGAATAAATGTAGAGTTTGGGCCTGTTTTTTTTTAAGTCAAAATGTAAATTCCTTTTATTATTATTGTTATTTTGTATTTTGCTCATTATTATCTGTAATTTATCAAAACATGGAAAGTCTGTAAAATATTTTTTTAACCGTTTTTCCAATCCTTAATATATAATTTTTTTTTTTCAGATGTCAGGAAATATCTGTGAAATAACATTTTTTTGTGGATTTAAATACTTAAATATTTTAAAAGTACAGTTTTTACTTGTGGACATTTTATTTATTAAAATTTTTTTTTGCAGTTTATCAAGTTTTTTTTCAGTTCACATGTAAATTAATATGTATTTCTTGAGTTTTCACTAGTTATATTAAGTTTTTTTTTAAAAAAAAGGGAAAATCTGTAAAATAACAGTAAATTGTAGATGACAGTTACATTTTTTGAGTGTTGGGTTTCACTGTTACATGCAAATAATAAGAACAATAATAATATTACATTCGTTTAATATAGCGCTTTTTAAGAAACTGAAAGGACTGCAGCTTCAACTTTAGAGTAACATCGCAGGAATATTTAATACATTTTACCAGCAAAAATGAGAGAACAATAATATACAACATAGTTAGAACTGAATTCAAAACATTGAAGTTAATTAGGTATGTGTCTTCATCCCTACAGGCCACTGTGAAATCCCTTGTTTCCTTTTTTATAACAAACATTAGTTTGATTTAGCTGTTTCTATGGTATGCATTTATAGCATAAATACATAAAAAAGACCCCTAAAAGAATTAAGTTAAAAAAAAAGGAGGGCGCATTTATTTATCCACTGCTACAAGCCTTATGAGCGCTACAGGGAACAGTGGAGGGATTGTCCCTAAAGGCACTGGAAATACATTTTGTGGTTCTCCTCAGTGTATTTATAAATATTTCATACTTTTATATCGGGCTGCTCTGGTTTTGAATGAGTTCGGCTGAAATCTACAAATTAGCAGCAAACGAAACTTGCTCACGAATATGTAGTTGTTTCAGTTAGGAAACGGAAACACAGAAAGTTTTTTGTTTCTTCTTTGGCTAAAACCGTCCAAGGGTGGTGATGGAAGCAGATTAGAAAGATCAATGTAGCACATAAAACCCAGAGTGTTAAACAGGGCTGTGCATTATAGTTGACCAGTAAAAGAAGTGAATGTGTGCTGGACATGGAAGTGTTTGTAAGAGGGTTATCTATCTTTGACTACAGCTTATTGGAGAAAAATGCGGCTACACAAGATGCACTGCCCCCTAGTGAAGTCTACACTGATCTTCATACAAATATAGTAGTGGAGATGGTCACTGTTGTGGGATATCAAATAAAACACAATGTAAAGATGGAGGAAACATGCCAATATGCAACGCTATACTGACTAAACTCTATAAACTGCTAATGGCTTAATATTCACTTCATGTTGAGAGTTAATCCAAACTCATGTCAAAATACGACAAGTCCTGCATTCTAAATATTTCTTAAGCAAATGTAGTACAGCATCAAAAGCAAAGGCACAATTATCCAGAGAGAACCCAGTCAGCGTCGTATTATCGTATTGTATTAGTTGGTATTGTGGCCACCAATGTGTACATGTGTAGGAAGGATTTTAATGCAGTTTCAAGATGAGTAAATGATCTCTGTTTATTGCACTGTTTGGTAGCTTGATCAATAACAATGCCTCATATTTTATAAAGTGATCATACAGCTTGCATGTAAAACATCTGCTGCACATCACAGTCCACCTACACTGCAGTTTTCATTTGTGTTGTCTGATTAAACCTCTTTTGGGGACTGCACACGCTGAGCTTGACTGACATCTCCATCTCTACTACACTACTGTTTTTGTTTTGCCCATTAAGACGCCTACAGACTGCAAGATTTTAGCAAACTTATAAGTTTATTGCAAGCTACGCTGTGCAAAATCGATCTGATGAATTTGGGTAAGACATCCAGTGTGATGTGTATTAGAATGTGCGATGACAATACGTACTTAATCGTAGGCTATGGTGTCTTCAGAGTGCGTCACCCATGTAGTGATAAACAATAAAGTTAAGCAAGATTTAAGCACTGGCAATAATGGTGTTTATGTGTATGAAAAAACTCCAAGAAGATCTGGAGAGGGAGAATTTGGACCCAGTCATGGGAAAATAGGCTAATTTGGCATGCTAATTTTGCAAAGAGAGCTTCAAATAAGTTTAACATGAACAAGTATTGCCATGCTGTAACTGATATCATCTGTCTGATTTTAGCAACTTTTGCTCAGTCAGAAGAGCTCATAGGAAAAGCGAGCAAAGTTTACGATAGAAACATGAGCGTGATAGATCAAAGCAATTTAGCGGTTAGACTCCGGTGAGAAGCAGCATCACAGGACAGAGTTCCAGATGAAGGTAAAAGATGAGAACGACTCCCCGGAGCGTAGACGCCAGTGGTGGTGGAGCAAATTTAGCAGATGGCTGATGGAGACTGGCTTGGATCACCCTGATGAGAGATGCACAAGCTTCATTAGCCACCCAAAAAGTTTCATTTTGCTCATTTTAGCATCATGTATTCCTTTTGAGTTTTTATTGGTTTTCACTTTTGCATTGACGAGCATGTCATTTAATGCTGCATTCCTATTGGTCGGTTGCAGCAGCAGTTACCTCAGCAGACAGTCACTGAAAAGTTGTCAAAATTTTGTTGCAGTCCATCTTTGGTCATTTTTGAAAGTCTGTCACAGTGTAACATATAAGTACCATTTCCAACACGGCAGCTTTTTCAGACTGATCATCTTTTGTCTAGAACATACAGTGCAGATCCAACTTTAGGGTGGAACAACCAAACCTTTAATTATTATTATTAGACAGGAATTCCTAAAGAGCTCCACTCAGCCTGTAGAAGTCTAACAAATCAAAGTAATTGAAAACATGTGTGGATATCTACTACCTAGCAACTATAGCTACTAAAGAACTGTAGTGTGGTAAAAAGCCCAGTATTTCCTCAGAAATGTAGTGAACCAGGAGTATTAGATGGAAAACTATAACTAATCATTATCTAAATAAGCCAATTTACTAAAAATCACTGATGAGAACCTCTAAAATGAGTCATTTAGATGCAATATCTTACTTGCTTAATCTGAAAGTTTAATAGTCACAAACTAAACTTTACTTGATGAGCTTTAGAGGTGCTTATAGAAGAACCTTAGACAGAATCTAGCAGTCTATATGCTAAGCTAAGCATCTCCTGGTTCTTTATACAGACATGCATGCATTAGATGAGGGGGGGGAAGGAATCATGCACTATTTTCCTACAACGGGCTCTTTAAGGCGTTGTAAAATATGTCAGACCCTAAACACTGAAACCCAACTTCTGAATCCAAGCATCACACTTGGAGAAATGGTAAGAGAATCCTCTTCAGTACATAGAGCCCTTTAATTACACAGTTGCTCACAATAACAACAGAAAGGCAGTTCACGATGAATGGCGTGACACTCTGTCTGTCCTGATTTAACACTCTCTCTGGGTTAATCAGAATCAAAAGATGCCAAGAATGGATGTAAGGCGGAGCTCCCTGCTGTTTTTGATACAGCACGATGTGGTTAATGTTTATTTTAAATGTCTGCACACTAGAAGACAACTTCTGCCAGACATCTTCCTCCCATCAGTGCCTGAATTACCCGCAGCCATCTTATAACTCACCACCGGTGATTGCTGCCTCATTGGCTCTTGCCTGATTTTTCAAAAACAGCGGTCACAGAAATGCATCGTAATTTATGCCAGTTACACCACAGACTGCTCAGGAGACTGTAAACCCAGCTGACTGGTTCGGCTTTAATTGGCAGGGTGTGGGCATGAGTAGTTTCTGCAGATGCTTCTGAGGAGACTGCAGCATCGGAGCTCCTCTTAAACTTTAAGCACAGGCACATTTGGCCTGGTTAGAGAACTAAAAGATAAAAGGGAGCGCTTGAATTAATAGTTTCCACAGGAGAGAACATCAAAGAGCCTCAAATATTAATAGTATACATTTGAGGTTTACACTGAGCAGCTGCCTTTTGTTTTAATGTTTAACTATGGAGCTCTTTTTCATCAGTTGTTCTTACGGTCATTTCAGAGTGATGAAGAAAATCTGGATCAGTCTGTTCAACATATTATACTGTAACACTGTGGCCACAACGCAGAGTTAATAGTT